AAAAAAAAAAAAAAAAAAACTTACTAATCCTCATCCACAACAAGCTATCTATTCATCCCAAAATCAATCATCCCCCGACCAACACTACAACCGGTCTATAGGCTCGTACTTACCGAACCCCTCCTCAATCAACCCCTTCAACATCACCTATCAAACTATCAAATATCAAACACCAAAACGAAGGCTCCTATCTCCTATGCCCCCGTAGCCAACATCCATCTATCCATCTATCCATTCACTTCCTCACCTACTTCCTCACTTCCTCACTTCCTCACTTCCTCACTTCCTCACTTCCTCACTTCCTCACTTCCTCACTTCCTCACTTCCTCACTTCCTCACTTCCTCACTTCCTCACTCACTCACTTCCTGACCTACCGACGTACCATATCAAGATCCAGACGATAGAAACAACGGAATGCCGAAATCGGCGGGGCTGGTGAACGACGAGCGGGCGAGCATGGACTTGATTCATCTTCTGCCACGAGCTGGAACGATTGGTTGGTGAAAAAAAGGAAAAAAAAAAAAAGAAGAGAGAGAGAGAGGGAGGGAGGGAGGGAGAGAAGAAAAAAAGAGATGTAAAAAAAGAGAGAATAAAAAGGAGAGAGAAAAAAGGAGAGAGAAAAAAGGAGAGAGAAAAACAGGAGAGAAAAAAAGGAGAGAAAAAAAAAGATAGAAAAAAGGGACAAAAAAAAAGAGTTTGGGCTGACAAGGTAATATACAAGACCCAAATCAAACCAAATCAGATCAGAGGATCGGGACTCGTGTCATCGTGACGAACGAGAATAACGGGATTTCATTCTGCCGCGGGCGGATCAACATATGCTGGACTCTCCAAGATATCACCACCTTCCACCCACACCTTCGCCAACTCCCCATCAATCTCCCTCTTCCGCTCCTCCCACTCCTGAACCTTCGAAAGCTGTTCCCGCAACTCCCGCAACTCCCGCTCAACACCCATCTTCTCCTGCTCGGTGCCAATCCTCTCCCAGTCCCATTCACTTCCATCAGCGCCCAAGCCGAGGGTGAGATTGAACGTGTGATACCTCTTCAAGCTCGCCCTCGTACTGATCGTGATCAGAGTGATCCCCTTCTCCTTACACCTCTCGTAGAGCAAACCCTCGACATCGCTGCTCACAGCACTTGTCCCTTCGTCAATGAACGCATACCGCGGCTCGTGATATAACAGCCGCGCGATGGCCATCCTCTGTTTCTCGCCGCCGCTGAGCACGTCCTTCCATTCCTTGCGAGTATCCCACCCTCCTTCGCGGTCGGGTAGATAGCCGAGACGGGCTTCTTCGAGGATACCTTTGAGTTCTATGTCGCGGCGCCCACGCTCCTGCATCTCGAGCTCGCCGTCGGGATAGATGACTTGATCGCGAAGAGTGCCGACGGAGAGATAGGGACGTTGGGGGAGGAACATAATGCCGTCTGTGCCTACAGTGCGAGGGCGAGACACGAGGCCTCGATAGACGGGCCAAAGGCCTGCGACGAGACGTGCCACAGCGCTCTTGCCGACACCGTTAGGACCGGAAATCTGGGGACTGTTAGCACTGAATCCTTGTCAGATCAGAAGGAATTACCAAGAGATGCTCTCCAGGATGCACTATAATGGAGAGGGAATCGACTAATTCCTCCCCCCCATGGGGAAAAACGGACGGTGCCACAACTGGCACATTCTCCAACCGCACTCCATCGAAGCCCTTGTGAATAGTACCTTGCACATCCGACAAAGAGTACAACTCGGCATGAGTGCCCCGTTGAGGAAAATACGCGTTTGCATGTACTCGGTGAAGGGTCGAGATCAAGGTATAGACTCGACTCGTATATCCTGCCAGCTCCGAGAGGTCCTTAATCGAATACATCATGCGTCCACCAGCGTCAGCTAACGAGAGCATGAGACGCTTGTTCGTGATGAATTCCTGCATTCGGCCTCTCTCGCGGCCACCGCTGACCGAGGAATCGGCTAATTCTTGAACCCCTCCAAGACCGCCCCAGGCTGGCAAGAACACTGGGAGCGAGCTCAGAAGGTAGCCGTATGCACTCCAGCTGTACTTGAGAACGAAGTCTTCAAGGATGTTGTAGCGGATCTTTAAAGTGTAGATACCCTCCATCCACTTCTTGAGACTCTTGAACTCCTTATCAAGGAAGTTCTTCTCCATACTTGCGCCGCCGTAGAATGCGACCTCTTCGGCATTCGCGATCAGTCGGGCATGTAGCCCTCTAAAGTCACCCTCCTTACGGCCCTCGACAGCCTTGAGCTTTCCGAACGGCGGAGAAAGTCTCCTCAGAATGGTAGCTGTGAGGAAATAGTTGCTCAGCAGCCCTGTCAGGGCCAATGGCCCTAAAGACCGGTATAGTTGGTAGTTAAAGACCAGGAGGTCTACAAAAGGCTTCCCCAGTGACGAGTAAAGACTGGCAGCCGCGGCACAGAAATGTGTGAGATCTTGGGTAATGAACTGATCTGCTCCTTGGCCAATGCCGCCATCCAGATTCGAGAGTTTGTAGTAATTCAGGTTATCGTTGAGATATAGATCGTGGATATATCTCGTGAGACGTGTACGGAAGGCAATAGAGACTTTCGATTGAAGAAACTTGATCATGGCATTCGTATAAGAGGCAAAGCTGCCAATGCCACACCACTTTTTGAAATTAGCCTCAAGTACCGAAATCGACCGAAATCGTTGCATCCTGCTATCACTTACCTTGACGATTCCCCACATAAAACTCCTCCCATTTCCCGCCACAAGGTCCCTCACAATCTCTCCGTCCAGCCTCGCAACCACCAACGACAGATAGGTCCTCAGCATCAAAAATACCCCATGACTCACCAACAGCCCCGTCTCCTTACTCCCCCATCTTGGTATCATGATACTCAACAAACTCAAAAACTGGTGCAGAAACGCCAGATTCAGCCCCGGCTTCGTCTGCGGCGGCGGGATTCCATCAGCCAGGCCCGAAACCCTGGGCGGATTCAGGAACAGCCGTCGATGCGCATCGAAGGTCAGGGCTTTCGTGGGGGATATGGTGACTTTGGAAGTGGAGTCCTTGTAGGGCACGTAGATGATGCGGGAGCCATCTTTATTCTTGAGCCCGGAATTTTTGCGCAAGAGGTGACGGCCTTGCTCCTTCTCTGCTTTGCGGGAGTTCCACCACCGGCGTGTGCCTTCGCCGCTGGCGATTATGGAGAGGGTGAGGGCGAGCGCCCCGAGGAGGCGGGTGGTCTTGGATGTGCCTTTCAAGCGCTGCCGGAGGAGGTTCGTGTAGATATGGTAGAAGTTGTTCGCGAGGGGATCTGCGGAGTGTCGGAGAGTGGATTGGGAGGCCATGATGATGTCGCTGTCGCTGTCGCTGTGGATGTGGATGTGCTGCTGGTGTTGTCGATTGCTCTACATCGTCATCGTGTTCATAGCTCTGGCCTATTGTCCTTGTTGATACAGCTGACGGGCGAGGAGAGGTGTGAGAGGGCAAAGGTCGTGTTGTTCTGGGTAGGTCTCTCTCTAGGACCATGGCCGGGTCAACATGCTTCGAGTGGCGTCAAATGCATCCATCGAGAGTTGTTCTCAAGTCGGACGGACAGGACAGTCTGGGGATGTGGGATATGGGATGTTGAATAGCCGAGGCATGTGAACAAACGACAGGGTCGAAAGATTCGCTTGGCGCTCGCTTCCATCTGCTACAACTATTTACTCAAGATTAGGATTGCGAGTATTGGAGGCAGGTTCTGGCGGATACGGTCTGTACGGGGTACACTTTGCTCACTGCTGAGGTACTTCGAGTAAAGGATCAGATTCCAGATACTCCGGATAAACAGGGCTTCTAGGAGTTCCGAGAGTGTAACGCCCGATGTTCATCATAATGAAAGAATCATGGTACCGGTAGTCTGTCTTCGTACGCCCCTCCGTATAGCTTATGCACTAACACAGACACAGGAGATCAAAGCCTCGGATGGGGGTCAAGCTCCAAGAAGAAAGGTAGGGAGGGTATTTAGAAGTTGGGCAGAGATGCATGTATGTTTTCAAGACTCATGGCCGGAACTAGAAAGGCTTTGTAGTTCGGCCATCTATAGAAGCGGATAAATACCAAAGAGAAGAGAAAAAAAGGACGCCATGTTGTGTTCAATATTGCCAGTGCGTATGATTACTATTTAAAGAAAACTTGTACCATTATTAATAAATAATATCAGCCAAGAGAACAAACCCCCAAGAAAGAGTTGGGTAGATTTACCGCTTGAATGTTGATCTGTATCGAGGAAGGAGGACAAGCGAGGGGCCGGTGTGAGGCACGAGCTTTGCCAAATGCAAGTCAAGCAGCGAGCTCTGAGTTTGATCTGACGTGTATAGACATGGATGCATTAGTTGTCACTGTGCCTCGAGATCGGTGGCAGCAGCTGTTGACCGGATTCCTCTCTGCCGTGCCTGGTTCCCACGGTCGGACATCGACACCGACATCAACATCAACATCAATAATATTCTCGCCCCCGGCCGCTGCAGACGTCGTCGCTCTCCAGCCCGGTCATTGAAGCTCCGAATCCAAATGCCACGGCTTTCCAGAAGACCCCTGACTACAATCCCTGGGACCTGCGGCGGACCCAATATGCAGCCTGGCTGACGTTGACCATCGGCAAAGATACGTAGTATTTGGGGCTCCCAGCCCAGCCACGTGATTGATGCGTGCGGTTGACGCGGTGTGCATCGTTGAGGCGTAGTAGGACTTTCCTAAAGCCGACTCCACCAGTCTGAACCGTCCGAGGGACCCTTCGATTGTTTCTCATTCCCCGTTCTAATACACACTTGACGCGCATATCTTCCTTTACGACTGTGACAGGCGAGAACCGATGCGGAACAATAGGTAGCGATTCTTGCACGCCCGATCCTAGTCTCTCGTAGCCGCCGAGGCTGAAAGTTGCCATACAGCGTACGGAAAGGTACAGCAGAAGCGGGTACACTAACTATGGATACTTCTTGAAACCTCCGTAGGTACAACTATGATTGACCCATCCGATGTGACTTACTCGTGCTCTCACTCCGACCAGGAGCTCGTAATCTCGATATCGTGAATATACCACTAGTTCAGGAGGTATGTGATATATGAATTCCTAAAAGATGCCATCTCTGAAGGATGGTTGGTTCTTGAGAGTCCTCGGATTGATAGCGATAGATGAGTTTGCTCCGCTCCCCTGGATATACGGTGGTACAGGCCTAAGTATTACCCCTCGAGGGTGCCTCAAAAGTCTAGTTTCCACTTTAAACTCCCTGGTTATCCTACCCTCAAGGGGTAATACTTACGCCTGGGACGTAGTACTGGAGTGAGGGCGTAATATGTGATAGGATAAAAGTGGAATCCGGGGACAATGTCCAGGGCGCCTAATCTCTTGTTTGCCCGCCGACAACAACGCATGCACAGGCCAGGCCAGGCCCGTTCGGTAGACTGGCCTCAGCATAGAAGTAGCATACAGAATACATCGGATGGACTGCGTCGTGAGGATTCGTGAAGAAGTATATATATACTCCCGGGAGGCAGCTCTTGATTTGGTAATACAACGTGCGCAGTATAAGTATAAGTACTACTATGATTGTCCCGATGGGTCCCTAGTTGCTTTCCGTATTCCGTGTTAGTTTATCGACTAGTACCTACTACCTCGGTCCATGTTAGTTTATTGATTCCAGTTTAGTTTCTTGACTCCAGCTTAGTTTACTTACTCCCTACTTAGCTTACTTAGTTTATTGACTAGCTACGGGGTATATCATCCATTGCCCCATCAACGCTAGCTCTCGGCTCGGTCCTCGTTCCCATTGCCACCTTATCCGCCTGAGGCACTAACCAGCCCCATTAGTCAGTCACTAGCGCCAAGATTGGGAAATTGGTTCACGCCCAAGCCAAATCTGACCTACCGACTTGCTTCCGTTCCTAACCTACCTGCCTACCTGCCTACCTCCCTACCTGCCTACCTGCCTGCCGCCGCCCGGTCTCTTCCATTAGCCCTCCTGTCCGCTCCTCTCGAGCTCGTCTCAAGCTTCTCGGCTTCTCGGCTTCCCGGCTTTCCTCTGTTCTCTTCCTCTACTCAATTGTCGCATCCTACTGCGCTTGCTTTCCAACCGCTTTCTCTCTCATTCGTGTTCTCGAGCGCGCGACAACAACCGCTGTATTAGGGCTCGATACCGCCCACCCTTTTCACCCGCCGACGCGTACCTACAAAATAAAAAACAAAGACAAAGACAAAGCAATCCAGAGCAGAGCAGAGCAGAGCAGAGCAGAGCAGATATAATTGGGGTAGAGGCGCTTCATACCATTGCAGCCTGTATCCCTTCAACGGGCCTTCTGCTGTGTTGAATTGCCCTCGATGAGTAATGAGATAGTACAGCAGACAGAGCAGAATCTTGACCGCTCGACTTCCACAGAGGGTGGTAAGGCATCAAAATCACCAAAACCACCTGCACTGGACATATCAACTTGTGGGTGTCCGATCTGATCCCCCTCCGCTGTGTGGAGAAGAACTCTAGATCGAATGCGCAAGCTGTGTTCCGGCATCAACCATTGGAAGCTAATCATGTCTAATACAGTGACAAACTCTCCTCACCTACCAAGCTCTTCCACTCAAGCAACCTCAACCGCCCAATACATGGTAACCAACAAGGAATCTGCCGAAACTGCCTTGTCGGGCTCACAACAGGAGAAGGATTCCTTGAAGGTCGAAGACGAAGCTTTAGAGGCCTTTACCAAAGACCGCAAACTTCTGAACGTTCCGTCCCGATCCTCTTCGCACAAGATACAGTCATCGCCAACATCTACCGGGCTGAGCGGTGCTACGGCAAGCGATTCGAGAAACAGCATAGGGGGCAGATCGAAGGAATCGAGCGGTAGCATTTTGAGGCGGGGGCGGAATGGGAGTGCAACAAGTAGCAGCAAAATGTCGATAACACCACAAGGAGCATCGGCCCTCCCGGGCGTGACCACGGAGATCACGTCATCTAAACCTGCAAGCTCTCGCCAGCTTAAGAAGAAGAAGGGCTGTCTCTCGTTTCTCTGCTGTGGGGTTCAGGGTCACGCCAATGGGCCAGATGCAAACGATGCAGCGGTCCTAGCAAACAAGGTCACAAAGGTGCCATCAAGACGTACGACAACAGCCAGCAGGCCCGAACAGGTTACACCGGCGCCGTCAAACAACAACCCGAACAACTCCCAAATCGAGAAAGATGCTCTTCGCCAGGATGCTCAGAAGGAGACCGATCTCGAGAAAGAACACGAGAAAGAGCGTAACAAAGCTACCACCTCAAACCCCGGCTTAAACTCTCCCACGGGAGATGATATGCCTCAAGGGGCAAACAGCGATGGAAATCAAACAGATGTGATTGCACGTGATGCACCGTCGGCCGAACTGTTAAAGAGGTCGGAGTCAATCAGCGCTGGCCAGTCGGTAGTGCCAATTCCAGCTGTGGAGGTCCAAGGTCCATCCAGGTCTGAGTCCAAAGGCTCACGTACTCCAGAACCTGCCCAAGAACAAACAGATGAAGAAGGCGACATTAAGATGAGCGACCCTGAGCCGATACCAGCGGATAGAGAGGAAATACCTATCCCAGATATCAAAACAGACGAGACAGCCACCAAGATAGCCCTGCCCCTTCCACCGCCAGCTCCGCAACCTCAAACCGTGCCAACCGACAACCCGTCTGGTGCCGAGTCGATAGAGGAGAAATCGCAATGGCTACTTCCACCGATCACTCCAAGATTTCAGGGAAAGAAGTGTCTGGTGTTGGATCTCGACGAGACCTTGGTCCACAGTAGCTTTAAGGTAAGTTAATTCCAATTACTCGGAACTGTGAACTGAGTTTGCTAGATCCTACATCAAGCGGACTTTACCATTCCCGTCGAGATCGAGGGCCAGTATCATAATGTATATGTGATCAAGCGGCCTGGTGTTGATCAATTTATGAAGCGAGTTGGCGAGCTATACGAGGTGGTAGTCTTCACAGCTTCTGTTTCCAAGGTATGTTGTACTCCGACTAAATGGAAATTCAGGTACTGATACCAAACAGTACGGTGATCCTCTACTTGACCAATTAGATATCCACAAAGTTGTTCACCATCGCCTCTTCCGAGAAAGTTGTTACAATCACCAAGGGAACTATGTGAAGGATCTATCTCAGGTCGGCCGAGATCTCCGGGAGACTATCATCATCGACAACTCCCCCACCTCGTACATCTTCCACCCCCAGCACGCTGTCCCAATCAGCAGCTGGTTCTCCGATGCCCACGACAACGAGCTCCTCGATCTGATTCCCGTCCTCGAAGATCTAGCAGGGTCGCAGGTACGGGATGTCAGCCTTGTCCTCGATGTCGCCCTTTGAAGCAAAATACTATGCGCTCCTCCATGCAAATATACTTGCTATCATAGCGGATGGCGTTTCGGTCGATACCTTTGGCTTCATTGTACAATGTAGTGTTTAATCTAAATAATGGGTTGTATCTGGCAAGACCAGAGTGGGCTCTCTTCACAACTGACGGGGTGGGTGCACGAGCGTCAAAAATGGACACAGGCCTCTCTGGTCGGTTGGGGGGGGGGAGGGAGGCTGGGAGCAGAAGATTTCAGCGGATCGACAACGAGGACTTGAGCGACGGAAGTTTGAATGGAGTCCCGGCCTCGGAAAAGGCATTACAGCGCCACAGCTTCGTGCTGTCGTCACAACATTTCCTTTTGTCATGGTCCGAATGGAAGCGAGCAGAGGAATTGATACCTGGCGAGGAAAAACATGGGATGCAGATGTCGGAATCCTTTCTTCTTTTCATTTGTTCATCTTCTTCTCTTCATAGCATGGGCATAGGCGTAAAATCGACAACTTTCTGTATGTATCCCAGTCTCTGTCGAGGATTCAAGTTGGGGTAAGTGATGCCAGCGAGTGCATCGATCCATAGGTACCTAGGCAACACTTGAATGGCATGGTGCGGCGAGAGCATCGAAGGGAAAATCCGCTTTAGTTCTGGGGGCCGTGAATTGAATGCATGTTACTTGTGTGAACGTACCCGTGGACGTGCGGTCCATGATGCCGTATGTTTATATGTATTTTTATATGTACATGTATATTTATATTTACCTTTCTTTACCTTTACATTTACATTCTTTCCATCTTGATCTCTTCGCCTTTGTCTCCCCAGATTTCCAGCTCAGTGCGGCGGTCCATGTCCAAGCCGAGTGAGTGACCCACCTCCACTAGCGCTCCAAACCCCCTGCCAGCACCGAGCCTCCTTTCAATGTCGCTCGTGTCCTCAACTCGAGAGAAAGTTGGACAACATCCCCAACTTCACTCTCCCGACCTTTGACAACGCCCCATCGACACTCCTTACTCTGCTAATTCATCACTCGCCGCTGTCGCCTTCTTCTCACCCACAACGCTACAGAATGGTAACAATCCTTTCCTCTCTTGCCTTGCCTTTTTCTCTACAAGCGCAAGCAATACCTCCCTCTCAGTATCTCCTGGACATCCCTCGGTCTTCTTTGAAGAATTCCACCTGCAACCCGCGATCCTACACCATGCCTATCCTCTCCACATGCATGTTATGCTAACATGACGCGCGAAATAGTCTTCTCCACGCTCCGCCTCCCCCGTCAACTCGCCCGCTGCCATCGCCACGGGTCGACCCTCGTCCCCTACGCCCCCGGGCGGACCCAAGACTGCGATAAGACGCCGTGCGGCTGCCGACCAGAAGGACAAGGTTGCGAATGCGAGGCCGAGTTCTACGAGAGCGGCGGGTGCTGGCGGGTCGAGCAGTACTATGCTGAGTAGGTGGCCTTTTCCTCTTGTTCGGTGTTTCGGTGTAGATGATGGCTGGGAGATAGAATGGGTCAGGGGGGCGGTGTGAGAAAGGAGCGACTTGAGAGTTGGAGAGAAATGTGAAGGACTGCTCTGTGAAAGCTATGGAAAATGGCTGGAGTGAAGAATGTGGTGCTCTGCATTTTGTCCAGTTCAGGCCGATCACAAGAGCTCCTATACTGGCCAGTCAGCGCTTGATTCGGTCCTTGGACGGAAATGCGAGTATTCTGGAGCGAATTGCGTGAGACAGTGGCATCGTTGGGCCCTGGCGATTATATCTCTGGTCAATGACTATTATAGCACATGCTGATGTACAAACAGGACTTTACACCGACGAGTCTCCAGGATTGAAGGTTGACCCCGTCGTTGTCCTCGTTCTCTCTCTGGTGTTCATCTTCAGTGTCGTTGCGCTACACAGTACGTCTCCTACCCATATCAATCCCCCTTCACCAAAAACTCCCTAGCCTCTCGCTTCACAGAATACAAACTAAACTTTACAGTCATTGCAAAGGTCACACGGAAGTTCTCCGGCTAGATTTGAGTGGGCACATTAGATGAAGTGTGAAGCGGGTAGCGGACGAAGTTCTTTTTGGCTCGAGGCCCCAGTTCTCGGCTCTGCGGTTCTGAGCGAGGGGGATCACAAAAATTTCGATACATTCATGGGTTCATACGGTTGGTCGGGCGCTGTATGCTCTGGCCCTTGTACGATAGGCAGGCAGATTCAAAGGAAGGTTTACGATGCGAAATTGTTGCTTTGGCGTGTGCTACCAAACCGTTTGAAGCTTTCTAGTAGTCAAGTACAGGGACAATACGCAAGCGAGTCTCACGGGGGGCCCATCTGCTCTCTTCTCTCTTCCAATCACGGCTGTCGCCCGCGCAACGGGATATGTAGATGTGGGTGGAACCGTTGGTAGATTCTCAGCCCAGATGTAAATTTATAAGCTCTCAAAATTAGAAGTTTCTACGAGGACCAAGCGACATACCTCATCTCCTGTTTTTCATCTCCCCACGTGTCTTTTTTTTTTTCTTCTTTTTTTTTCTTCCTTTTCTTCTTCCTTTTCTTTTTTTTTTTTTTGTTCTGTGTTTTTCGTTTTCGCATCCGGAACCTCTCTCATCATCTTTCTGATTATTATCATTATCATCTATCATCATCACTATCATCTATCATCACTACTATCATCATCTATTATCATCTATCATCATCACTATTATCATCACTATTATCATGATGAAAGTCTACCTAGGTACCGGTAGGTAGGTTACCTACGCAAATACAAATACAAATACAATCCCATTTCATTCCCTTTTCCCCAACGCTAGCTAGCTAGCTATACTCTGTCCGTCCGGCCGGCCGTATTATTATCTCTGGAGAATCGTTGTTAGTGTTGGTGTTGTTGGTGTTGTTGGTGTTGGTGTTGTTGGTGGTGTTGTTGTTGTTGTTATGATCATTAGTTGATTTAATTGGTATTAAGTAATGTACTGTGATATAATATGATATGATACGATAGAACTTGGTGAATACTTTTTCTTCCTCCTCCTCTTCTTTCTTCTTTCTTTCTTCTCCCAGCGGTCTAAGCTCGCTCGCTCGCTCGCTCACGATCTCTGATCTCTGATCTCTGAGCTTTGCGCTTTGCGCGTGCGTGGTTTTGGGCGCTATGGCTTCTGATTCTGATTCTTCTGCTTCTGCTTCTGCTTTTGCTTTTGCTTAATCTAGAGAGGATGGGAGGGGAGGGGAGAAGGGGAGAAGGGGAGAAGGGAGATTCAATATGGGGAAACTGGGTGGAGGGTAAGCTGGAGTGTCGCTATGGTGGGGATGCGGTGCTGTGCGGTGCTGTGTTGTGTTGTGCTTTTCTGTGCGGACTGACTGACTGACTGCCGGTCGAGAATGTATGGCGCGAGGTGAAGAGGGATGAAGGACTGACTGGACTGGACTGGACTGGACTGGAAATTCGGCCCGAGCGGGAGAGATCATTTGCGGATGTGTATATGTATGTATGTGTATATGTATGTATGTATGTATGTATATATGTATATGTGTGTGCTAGGAGGTTCCTAGGTTGGTACTCTACAGAGGTTTTCTTTCACGTTTAATATTTAATATTTGCCATAGGGATAGATAGATAGATGAATAGACAAATGGATGTGTAGATACAGCTTCGAGGTCCATCTCGCGTCCTATGTTTTGTCCTAGGAATCCAACTCGCGTCAAGCGAAGCGAGGGCCGCGGGAGACCGACGAAGGACCTGGACCGTGTCTCTATCTAGCTGGCTAATCTCCTTCGTAGACGGACTAACTAACTAAGTAGCGACTGTCTTGTCTTGGGGAATGGCAAGAAAGGAGTTGTTTGTTTCGGAATGGAGCGTTGTGGGATGGGCGTGCTGCGCCGGGCGGGTATGAAATGTGGCAGATGGCGTGAGAGCGATGGGCAGGGACGCGGATTCTGGCTTTGGTAGCGGAGAACTCGTTGCTTTTTTCAGCGGTTCCCGATTGGTATTTATGTTGAAGAAGAGGATGATGATGATGATGACGCCTGTATATAAAAAGGAGAGGGGGGGGGGAGGGGGTTTCAGGTATCAACCACAACTCGACTTAGCAAAAAAGGTGCTTTCTTGACTTGATACTACTAGAGATGGAGTTGGTTCTCAAACTACTGTATCTCCTCGCTTTACCGTCTTAAATTCTTATGCTGCTAAAGAAACACACAGAAAGAAAAAAAGACTACGATCGCCTTCGTTGTGTTCATCTGCAACGACTGGCTTTGGCTAGAAAACTGCTTGTACGGATAAAACAACGGACAAGGAACTTATTTCTCTTGATAGATAAAAAAAACGTGTAGATCGATAGATCGAACGGTGGTTGAACTTCACTTCTGAGCCTGCTACTACTCTTAAGGGTGGTTGTCCTGCTGATATGTACCAGCTACTACTTCGTATGCATGTTCTACTGAAAGGAACTTCTCATCGCAAATACGAACTGTGATTCAACAGCGGTACTCAGTCTGGGTTGAACAGTGGAGAGGTAATTCACCAACTCCGTGTCAAATTCATCGCTATTCAACCAAGGCAGGAAAAAAAAAAAAAAAGAGGAAACGATCGCAAAAATCGACGCGGAACGAAAGTAAACTGTAACGCATCCCAGGATATTTTCTTTCTTCAGCCCGATGCTGGGTCCGAATCCTCTCCATGATGCAGGACCTCGACAATGCTCGTACGCTCCTCCGCTCTGGCGGCACTTTCGCTGCTACTGCTGCTCAGCCCATCCGAGCCCGAATCCGTGCACCCGCCGCAGGTACAATCGAAGCCATAGATCCGCTTCAGCATCTTCGTCTTGTGACCGTAGTCCACGGTGACCTCATCGCCCTCCAACAGCTTGAAGTGGTTATAGAAGACCATCTTGCCGATGCTGTCTTTCCAGACGTAGTGGCTGTTGGGCACGCAGGAGTGGTTGATGCGTGACGCCGTCTCAAAGACGCCGGTGGCGAGGTCCTTCATGATGCTGTATCCGTTGCTGTAGACGATGCTGCGGCTGCGAGACTCGTGCTTGTTGCGGGAGTAGGCGTGCAGTGACAGGAAGGATTTCTTCTTCTCGGGTGAGAGGGCGTTGACGGTGACATCGAGGGGGTCGGCTCGGGCACCGTTGTCTTGCAGAGTCACGAGGGGCTCTTCACAGAGGAGGATCGTTCCTGGAAGAAGATCATGGAGGGCGAAGACGCCGAGGCCCTTGTCCTCTGAGTCGCGAACCTCGATGAGCGTACCCAGAGTATCGGGGTAGCGAAGAGCGTTAGGGAGGAGTGAGGCAAGCGGTCGCGGTGGAGTTGTTGGGCGGAATGAACGGTTGTAGATCGCCGAAGGGTCGGGGGATATGGAAAGCGTGGTTTCAAGAGCGCCGGATTGAGGCAAAGTGGGGGTTTTCGGGGCTGAGATGGTTTGGCTCGGTATGCGAGTCGGAGTTATGGGGGGTTTATCTGTTGTTGACATTGTAAGTGGTTGATGTGGTGTTCTCCTCGCGCTGGTCTAAAGAGAAGGGTAGATGTTAGCCAGTGGTCCGTAACTGCGAATTGCGCAGCAGGTGAATCGACTAGGTGTAATTGAATTAGAACACGGAGGTCTGGACCATGTTCATGTCCAAGATAATACAAATCCAAAAATCTGCCGACTTAATGCCCGTTGACGGTGGCTGAGGTTGGTGTGATCCAGTAGCTCTCAGTTACAGCTAGACCGAAGGTGACGGCCCACTATGTATTGCAAGCAAGCAGTCCATTCAACGTCAAGAATAGAAAATGAAAATTTATAGCAAGGGCTTATCGATTTCTGATATAAAAGTTCAAATTGTCATACTCCTGGGTGCAAGGCCACTGCTGAGCGATGAAGTTGTATTTATGTGAACAGACCGTCCCATACAGGCTATTGAATTTGTAAATTCAATAGCCTATATGAAAATTTTGGAGCGACCTTCTCAAGCGCTGGTCCACGCTTAGTCCATGCTCTCTGTAGGAAAAATTATCCAATGATGGGTCGATGACCAGTTTCTTGAACAGCTGTCTCTGAAGGCGAGGTGGAATAATCTGGTAGAAAAGCCAGGAGATAAGAAGTAAAAAGGCAGCATTTAAAATCCACAGTTACTCAAAGCTGATACGGGGATGGCACCAAATGATAATTCCATGGGATGCTGTCCAGGAAGGAAAATAGGCAGAGACGAGCAAGCACTGGATTCCGAAAAGGAGATAAAAGCCAAATGCAAGTGAATGGTACACGCAGAACCGGTCCGGTCTCCTTTTGCAAAACAGACCAACTTTTTGCCATGGATTCCAGTTCCAGATGTGTTTTCCTTCCACAGCTCACATCGATGAATCTCGTAGGCCCGCGCAGGATATTGGTATGGTGATCCTCGACCCTCGAGAAGATCCAAACATGTGGCCCACAACAGCCCGAATCAAAGGGCTATGCAAAAGGCGGTTCCATACAGCCTCATACATCCCTAATTTATATACATGCTCCCAAGAAAGAGCATGCACCCAAAATGACCTCCCGGAACACCAACAAATGCCCAAACGCCGTGCCATGCCATGCATCTTACACATCCGCTCAAGGGTCATCTGTGTCGATCCTTGCTGAGCGCATCTTCGTCGCGCTTGGGGAATCCTCCAACTCTCTCAGCCCTCCGCATAACGTCTCTCCCCTTGTCTCCATCTCGATCCTCTTGCGGCAAGCCCCACCACTCCCGATGGAACTTCTCCTGCTCTATCCGCCTCGCCTCTTTGGCCTCTCGATCCTTCTGCCTCTTCAGCCGTAGTCCGAACCATTCTTCTCTAGCGGCGTCTTGTTCGGCTGGCGTAGCGTGGGCTATCATACATGTATTCATCGCTCGATTTTGTGCTCTGCATTTAAAAGGCGCGGTGAAGGTTCGTCCGCGGGCACAATCCGCGAATACTGCGAAATCTCAGCTCCTTGAACTCCACATATAGCTTGAGGAATACGCACATTTGATTTCCGGCGCGCAGTACCCTCGTACCCTCGCATGGTAAAGTTCTCTAACCTGAGCCTCTTGTCCGGAGGATAATGGCAGTGGATTCCGTGAGGGCATAGGCAGACGAGGAACTTCCTCTTCCCCAACTTGCTGCTTAGGAGGCTCCATAGCTGCCATCAAATACAGTGGGCTGCAGAGGTCAAGGTGTAGAACGTCTCGGGACGATCTCAGTCGAGGTCGAGGAGCTTTGACCAAAGTGATTAGCTTTAAGTCACGTGGTATGTAATGTAAATACCTCAAATATGCTCATCATAGCAGTTTTACTGCCAATAAATAAGCCTTCTGCCGAGTAAAACTTATACAGAAGAGAGCCATCGCATGGGTATTTGTTGCAAGGGGGCAGAAGACGGTATTTCGTTATGTTCGTCCTTCATGTTCATCGACTCTTTTGGGATTAGGCTTCCCGTGTTTAGCGTCGGATTTTTCTATGAGGCTGAGAAAGTCCGAATCTCCTCAGGACCTTCATCACACACCTTACGGACACTGCAGGACCCACCCCCACCCAAATAGCAACGAACGCCGACATCAAGTGACCGAACTTATCTCTAACGCGCAGGAATACTCCAAGATGTCTTCCATGCGCAATGCCGTCCAACGGCGGAACCACCGAGAGCGAGGGCAGCCAGAGGAGAGACAAAAATGGGGACTGTTAGAGAAGCACAAGGTACTATCCACGGCGTATACCTACCCGTCAGGAGATACTGACATCAGCGCTAGGACTACTCCGCTCGTGCGCGCGATTTCAACGAGAAGAAAAAGAAGCTCAAGGCCCTGAAACAAAAGGTGCTCGAGAAGAACCCCGATGAATTCTACTTTGGTATGATGTCCCGTAAAGGGCCTGCCACAACCGGAAAGAATCGCACAGGAACGGTCAATGGCGATAGAGGCAATGAGGCCCTAAGCATGGATGCCGTAAGGCTGTTTAAGACACAGGACCTGGGGTATGTGAGGACGATGCGGAACAAGGCCCTGAAGGAGGTGGAGGGATTGGAGAGAAGAGCTGTGGGTATCAAGGGCGCGGGGAAGAAGATTGTGTTTGTCGACAATGAGGACGAGCAAAGACAGAAGGTGGAAGAGTCTACTAGTCTGGATATCGACTCGGACGACAGTGAAAACGAGAAGGAGACTAAGTCTGAAGACATCGAGACGAGAAATCTCCGCAGGATGCAGCAGAAGGAAGCAAATAAGCTTGAGAGTCGATTGAATGCCGCACGCGAACGGTTGGAGGCATTGACAGACGCCGAGCAAGCATTGGAGATGCAGCGAGCGAGGATGGGCAAATCGCCGAGTGTAGGTGCCGGAGTCACAAAAAGAGGAGCCAAGTTTAAGGTGCGAGAACGCAAGAGATAAATGACATTTCAATCGGTCGTCAGAACATGTCGAAAGCTGCATCCTGGTCTATTTATGATCTTCCTCCTTGGAGCGCCGGGATATTCCGCCAGAGACGCTCACCGAAATCGATACCCAGGAATAGAACTCCACCCAACTTTTGCGCCGCCCCAATCCTTCCTTCATACAGCTGATTTTTCACTCTTTGTCAGACACCTGCTGATGAAAATTATGATCTTGGCGAGTGCCTTTACACTCATCGTTGTCATCCATACCAAAAACTTGATGAGCATCCAAATCAAGCCCAAACAGCCAGGAACCTTCTCCTTTTGCTTCTTCTCTTTCTTCGCTTTCACGCTATCCTGGCTCTCGAGATCCAGCTCAAACTCTTCCATCTTAACCTCTCTCTTGCCCTTCTTTTCCTTATCTTTCATCCCCTTCACCGGCCAGGAAAGCGAATGCCTACTGGGCGACGACATTGGTGCAATCGAAGGCGCCTCGAATCTCTCGACATTACTCTTCTTCTCTTCCATTACCCCCACGAGCATTATCGCGCAAATTACAACATCGACGACATAGAAACAGTCTATCCGAGCAGCGACCGCTGTATCAATCTCCAAGAATCCGGATCCAGACCCATCACGGACAAGACGGACGATGTCGTGTGGTAGCTCGGCATGCTCCAGGGTGTACTCGACGCGGGACCAGGCGGGCGAGGAATGGATCGATACAACAAATGGTGTCGAGATGGCCGGGTGCACGAGATAGTATTTCCCACTGTCTTCGTCCCACACCAGACGACCACACTCGCGTTCTGCTGCGGCGATGACTTGTTCGCTGTCAGCTCGGTTTGGCTTATTGGCGAGCTCTATGACCATGTCTGACGCAGCCCGGGGATAGAGGAGAGCCACCAAACCATCGTTTGGAGGCAGACGTCGAGCCGTCTCCTCGAGGGTGGTGCTCATGACAGGCTTAATTTTCGACGAAGCGAGTTTAGGCGAGCCAGCCCCTATAGGAGGTTTATTCGGGTCATGTCGCAGCATCGTCATCTGGGCAGAAGTCGATGTTGGCACGAGACGGAGTGTATAAAACGGTTGCGTAGTGGACGAAAGCGTGTGGGTCGGCTCCTCGGGGTCGCTCGTCATCTTCAGACAGAACCTCCGTCCCTCTGAAGATGACACTCGCCATCCATTGACCACTTTCCACAACTCCTTCAGCTCGCCGTTAGACGATGTCTCCAAGATCGTCTCATCTTGCACCCCTCGCGGGAATCGACCCGGAGCTTGATTCGGCAAGCCAATAGGCCTCGGGCTCTGCAGACTTGTGATGCTCCGTTCCTCGCTGAGACTAGGGGAGTAGGGTCTCCTGTTAATGTTGGTCGGTAGGATGTGTGTCGGGCTTTTCTGCGTAGGGAAGTATGCTTGATGTTCCAATGCGATATGAGGATTGTATCTGGGAAATATGGAGCGCATGATGGCCGGCTCTCCCCTCTGAGGAGACCTACTGGCCGTCTTGGAATTGCTCGAGGCGTTACTATTGCTCCGCACCAGCGTCGGAGCCTCAGAGAACGAGGTATGTGAGCGAGGGATTTCCCCAATGAGATGTGCTGGAGGAGGAGTCGTGATGGGAGGGGCTGAGTCATGTTGCGGAGTCTGTCTGCCATTGATATTGCCATGAGCATTCGCATTGCCATTCGGAGCAGCCGTTGCCGTCGACATCGTTTCCACTCCCAAGGCTGATGGTCGAGCATCCATTCCCGATGTCGCCATAGCAGGAGCGACAGCGATGGTCGATTCCTGCTGGTGACGCAGACTTGGTTTCCTCGACGGGTTCGCATTCGTCTTGTCCCTGGGCGGGGGAGGAAACAGCTTCAAGCCCATGTTCACCTGGTGGTGGTCGGCCGGCATGTTTCAGTGTTCATCCAGTATTGCGTCTTTCCAGATGCCCAGCAATTGAAATCTCAAATTCTCGAGTAATCAGTACTTAAGGTACAAACAGAGCAGCGCTGAGCTGATCCGCACCGGCCATCGAGGGCACTACCACGGCAGCAGCCATCAGTTATACATACATCTTGCTTCTGGTAGTTAGTTAGTCTTCTTGACTGCAGCAGCGCGTATGGGCCGCTGTGCCTTGTGCTTTGTGCCTTGTGCCGGAGAGCGACAGCCTTCAAAATAGATTTTTGCATCTTTCCCAGCGAGTCACGGCGACCCGACGGGAAGATCAGCGGCAGTATGCAGTGTGATCTGAGCCGTGATTGGCGGGCGGTGGGCGGGATGCAAGCGCTGCCGAGGGGGAGGCGCCGGGTGGATTGTGGATTTAGGTCACGTGACTCGAGACAATATATTTGCATCAGTTCTCGCATCCGGATCTTCTTACATAAACCCTTACGGAGATTGTTTGTTTGTTTGCATGGTGCCGTCCGTGGATCTACAGACAGGCTGTTTGTTGATTCGATCGGCCGTATCTGCCTACCGAATGAAACATTTCTCGTCCTCCGTGGCTCTCCCCCGTTGTCTCTTTTTCTTTTGGAGTTTGGGTATTTTGTTTTGGGTTTTCTCTGCACTTGTAAGTGCTTTTCGGCTGACTCCGATCCGGCCTTGATACTGGTCGCTACGCGACTCGCACAGCCAACGCTATAAGCTGGCTACAGCAGTCTGTACCTGCCTGATTCTCTTTTGTGGTTTTCCCTTGACGAGAGATTTTCTCTCACTGTGATCTATCCTATCCATAGGGAAAGGGCGCAGACGACAGTAGCTCTCGCTGCAGCACTTTGAATTGCTTTCTCGAGCCTTCTTGTATGTAACTCCTTAGCTTAGCACGTCGCCGTACCCCACGAGACGTCCCAGGGCGGCAGGCTTCGCCTGCTCCCCGCCCGACGTAAATAAATACAGCAACAACAACAATCCCCCGTTGTCTCCTCGGCGTTTGCTTCAATCCAATTCAAGCTTGCTTTGCTTCGTTCCAACTCCTGTCTGTCGTTTTGAGCTGGCTCTCACTCTCGGCGTTCTTTTTTCTCTCTTCTTTTTCTCTCTTTTGGTTTGGCTTATATTACGCGTTCTGTAGATCATGGCTAAGACCGTACGTACACTGTTAGAGAATACTATCACCTGACTCACGGCCCGCTACGCTGATTGAGTGCATCCGTTTGAGCTTGGGCTATGGAGGAACGTTAAAAACTTGACTAAGCGCTTAGTAAGAAGAAAGGGACATCTCACGGGTGTTATCTTGCAAGCCAGATTCGCACTCTGGCAGTCGAAAACCACCTTTCTGCGGTTGAGAACTACGATTATGGATTCTCTTCTTTCCGAATTCTATACGTTCTCTTCTCGAACATTTGAATAGTAGCTGTTTGTCGTGCGGTATAGTCTTATAATACTAGACGCTGCAATGTGCACTGCAAGTCTGCTTTTATACAATAGTTAGGAGCCACATTCGCTTCGAGAGCTTAGTTGATCGATCGATCGCTATCTTAAAGGCAGGTAGGGGGTCATTTCAGCGATCCTCTGACCTTCTTTTATAAAAGACGGTCCTTGGACCGTTTAAAATAAATACTAGTTTTATATCCAGAATAGTTCACTTTTACAACCGTCTTCGAGCTTTACGCCGTCCCATGGCCGGCCGTCCTAGAGCCGTCACCGTCTAAATTCTTAAAACACGGTTATTAAGAAATTGGTGTTAAATATTTAATTGGTCTGACGCTCGTTCTTAACAAAATACAATTAAAATAGGCCAGCGAAGACGGCCTTCTGAGCCTGTACGCAGCGCTAGCTACGAGCCTACGATATTTTCAATAATATTCGTAAAGCCGATTAAAGAAACGCACCTTTCGAAGCAATCGAAGCGATGCACCTTGATGCCAGCCGTTTCTCTCGTATTTGCCGACGGAACGGAAACCGATTAACGATAGGAAATAAGTATTATAATATATTCTTCTATGCAAAACTCGAACCTGGTACTATCGATCAGCTCGATGATTTTATCCAACGACTGGATTCCATCTTTTTTTCCACACTTAAGCAGCGGTATTTACGATCGGTTATATGAAAACGCTAAACGAATGAAGTAAACACGGTAGCGGCTTAGCTCTTCGGAACTCTCGGGATTGCTATACGATAGGAGAACCTTTGGCAGATGCTGGCTCGAGGACGCTTACAACTACCATTGATGACGAGTATAAAAGATACGAAGAGAAAAAAAAAAGGATCTCGATCGGATACTCGATTAAACAATCGGAAAGACGATGCATTAAGCCGCTGATAAGTAATCGCTATAAAAAGCGATCACAGCGATCAAAAACATCGATAACGAAGAATTGCCGTTGATAAAAAGCACTGGAATATACCGACCGTATTAACGCTGCGATACCGCGGGATCAAAGACCCGGGACTTGATATCGATTCATGTCTCTTTCCTTTCGTAGTTTCAACTTTATCGATATAAATAGACTTGGTAATTAAAAAAAAAAACTATTCAAGTAGCGAAAACCACCTTCCTCTACGAAGTGTTCAGGTCGGGATCGAATGCCGGCACGTTCGGAATACCCTTAGGAAGGCGATAAGTCGGACTCTTACAGGACCCGTGCCTGCCTTTAAGGTAGCTAGCATTTGAGCAGAGTTTTATTATGTAGGTATGCAGCTTAAAGTTTCTCTTAACCGGAACTTCGATGCTAACCCCGCTATCGTCAGCCGCGGGGACGCATCTCCGATCTAATAATACTTTCCTTGGCTTAGTCAAGCGGCATCGCTAAGGATGAAGATTCTACGCACTACGGAGATGGCAGGAAAGTTCTTTACGTTAGCAAAAGCGCTATCTAGCGACACGATGCCGTGCAATAGGAACCTGCTACGTAATAGTACAAAAGCAGTCGGTATAGCGCTGTCAGCGGGGGCGGCTTTGGAAAGTGTAATGTGCGGTACTATAGGGTTATAATACTTCCTACGTACTTCCAGCCCCCTCTATAAATAGATGCCGGATCCAGTTGAGCTCCGTCAATCGTCGAGCGGTGATCTCTGAATGGCGCAAAGCCGCGATCAGCTCTCCATGGCAGAGGACCAAAAGCTGGCTCAAAGATACTTTTCCAGGCTGGATGAATCCTTACTTATACTACGACGTACTACGTACCACGTCGTACGTTGATCGGTTGAAGGGCTGGTAAGATCCCTTGCAAGATTATACTTTCGAATATGTATTCATGAGGAGAGAGCATAATACTAGTAGAAACGGCAATGTGCACTGCAGGTCTGCCTTTGCATCATACTAATTAATAATAGAGAAGGAAGGGCTCGAGAAAAAAGCTAGCTGCATCAGGATAGAAGGGCTTATCGCTCTGACCTGGATGCTCGAAGGACAGCTGGCTGCATGGCATGGTGAAAGGCTATTATTGCTATGATTTGGAGCTGGCTGCACCGGGCTGGAAAGAGCTCCTGCGATGGATCGAATGCTCGAGGGATAGCTAGCTAGCTACACCAGGCTGAGAAGAGCTATGATACTACAGTAGAGAATGGATGCTCGAGGAATAGCTAGCTACACCAGGCTGAGAAGAGCTATTGCTACAGTATGGATTGGATGCTCGAGGGATACCGATAGCTGGCTGCACCGGGCTGAAACGAGCTCTTGCTATAGATTGAATGCTCGAGGGGTAGCTACCGTACAGTAGCTGCATTGCATTTTCCTGTAGAAGGCTAATAATAAGAATATTCGGAAAACTTACCCCTCCGCAATCTGGAGAATTGAGTTTCCCTAGTTTCTGTAATTAGAACATGAGGCGGCCTTGCTTGGACGCAATCAAGGCGGAGGGGGCTGGTACTCAGCCTGGTAGTAGCTTGGTAGAATGAAAGCTTATTAAAACAGCGGGCACGTAGCGGTGTACACTGGTACAACTAGTACTACCACGTAGCATACCAAAGTCCATTGGCCGACTGTTTCAATTAAGCTACGTAGTAGTCTCTAAAGCGGGTCGGAAAACCTAACCGCTGTACAGGACCTCTACGTGTACGTAGTAGTACGTACTTAGTATGTAGTATTTGCTTACTAATTAAAGTTTTCGGGGACGGCCTTAGGACGGCTACTGTACGTATAGGAAGGTCCCAGAATGGTCTTAGGGCGCTCGGGGACGGTCTTAGGACGGTCTACTAACCCAAAGACGAGATCTTCTAGAAGGCGGCTTAATCGATTAAAACGGTTCGTTCTATTTTAGTTACGAACTAGATGGTTTAGATAGTTTTTCTTTTCTTTTCGGACTCTATTCAATCTCAAGTATCGGCCTAGGTAATCCACTAGCTAATTCAACTTCTTGTGAGCGTCTCTTAAAGAGCTCGTTATCGGACGATCAGCTGACCTTTTAAATGGGCCCCTACCTGCCTTTGAGGTAGCTACGCAGAATTAATAGAATCAAAACATCTCCGTAAACCCTTTTGCTTTCAAGGCAATTGAAACATGTTGTCGTGTTGGCACGCCTGCACCTCTTGAATTGAGCGCCGCTCTATGCTACATAACATAGACTTCTTCCGCGTGCGTAAAGCACACGAGGGAAACCGAGGAGTAGAAGTCGCCATTGTACGCAGTAAAAATTGAAGCTGTTCCCAAGTTTAATATGTTACCCCCCCCCCCCCAATATGAATACATGTGCAAAGTATAATTTGCCCCATGAATCGTAAAACGGTGGTTTCTGAATGGCTGAAAGCCTTGTCAACTCCACTGTATAGACTAATTACTGACTCAAGGATTCCTTTCAAAGCTAGATCCTTACTTACTACGTAAAGGGTGATTGATTTAAAGCCCTGGCACAGTAAGAGAGCCCTTGCGGGATTATACTTTTTGCATGTGTATTAAGAAATCGCGACTAAACGTTTTTCGCTGCCAAAGAAACCACCCTGGCCGCCCCCCTGGCTATAGTACTGGTTAACGAAGGCGGAGATCTACTACTACGTACTTTACCTCTAGCACCTCTGCATAAGTAGAATTGTGCGAGTGTGCGGAATGGCTGGGGAAGACTCTGGCTGCATAAAGCGGCATTGAAGTGAAAAGATTAAAGCGCGCGAAACTATCGGCCCGTAATATAACTCGTACGGAATATAACTTGTTCACTAGCATTCATGCGGTACTATATCTCCGTATTTGCTGCGAAACAGCCTAGCAAGAAATCGCGGTTCGTAATCGTTTAACTTTTTCGAACAGGTATTTATATCCTCTCGAAATCCCCGTTGCGCTCTCCTCCCCAACAACCTCCTCAGCCAATTCAACTTCTATCAATCTATCAAGATGATGTTCGTCAACGCCTTCGCCGTCGCAGTTACTCTCGTCGCTCCTGCCGCTGTAACAGCCCTTCAGTTTTTACCTGGAGAAACTCCTTACTTCACAGTATGCAAAGGTGCTGGCTTCGCTGATTGCGCAAGAGCTAATTATGATTTCGGCGAATGTCGTAAGTCTCCTCTCCTTAATCTTCAAGAAGACGAAGCTTACTATAGGAAAGATGACTTTACTTCTGAGTATACTGATGTAATTACGTCTTTCAATACTTACGGCACGTATTGCCGCCTTTATGAGTAAGATAGATCCCTTTCTATGACTACAATGCAGACGGCTAATTCAAACAGAACTACTGGTTGCGAGGATGAATCGAAGTCGTTCGTTTATTCCGGCTCGGTCGAGGACCTGGCCAAGGAGGATGCATCCATTTCCCGTTACGATGATAAGCTCGCTTCCTACAAATGCGGTTAACTCTAACGATTCGATATTCTAAGAGAGCACTCTATGCCGCGGACCTTGGTATCACGAAGGTTACAGGGGTTGGCGGGTAGCAGGTAGGTTTGGGTTGGGTTTGGGGGGGTTTGATCGTAGTAGGGATCGGTCGAGGTCGCTTGGTGCGGCCTGCTAATTCTCCTTTTCTTATTTCTGGCTGAGCCTGCGACCGTAAAGCCGAGAGGTCAGTGGGATCTAATCAGCTCGCGGTATCGCATTGGTAGCTCTTCTTCATCCCTTTTTCATTCTCCTCTCCAGAGTCGGTGGACAACGAAAAGTGGAGCTACGAAGCATGACCAGCACGGGGTCCTCCTTTTTTTAGCAACAAAGGGCCTATTAATCCAATCACCTCCCTCGCTTACCAGAGCCGTTCACGAACAAGCTTTATTGTGATGTGTTTTTGGTCTGGTTACTCATCGTGCGTTGCTTGCTCACTTTGTACGGATACATTATAAAAGGCCTCGCTGCCAGTCTGCACCGAAACTTACTTATTTACTTACTGCCTCGCTGGATTCCTTAGAAATGGTGAGGTGAGGTGTTGTTTGACCCTTTGTTTGTTGGCTGAGAATGGTGAGGGCAACGAGGGCAGAGAGTGATCTTGGCAGGCCCACTACTGCGACGACGACGACGACGACGACAACGACTGCGACGGCCTCGATACCATATATCCCTAGTGTTCCCCGATTATGGACCGTCGTTCCTGTTTACAACCCCGGTCCCGCGTTAATAGCTTGGTATCCTACCGGTGCGTTTGTTTGTTTGTTTGTTTTGATCCGGAATCTATTATAATAGCCCCTAGCCCCTAGCATCTGAGCATCTCAACTCATTTCATCACATATCATATCGAAACAAAAGTCAACTAACCGTGTCTCTTTCTGTGCCGACCAATATGGGCAGCTTGCCTGGCATGCCATATGATCGGGAAAGAGGTCAACGCTAGCGAGTTCTTTTCTCCATTGCTCAAACATCTGGCGATCATAACTGCCATCTACTCAGCTTGTCGCGCTCTAGAGTAAGTACTCCCTCCCTTTCAAGCAAACCACGCTTGCTAACACCAGTAGTGCTATCCTCGATCCCGATCCCGATGAGCTCGAATACCGCACCTCTTCCCGCGCAATCATCCTTGCCTTGGGATACCCGTGCTGGGCCCTCGCCACCGTAGCGCTGATCTACTCCCTCCAGTCGCCATCGGACCTCATCCTCTGGCTTCCCACATGGATCTTCAGCTCGCTGTCCATCATCACCAAGCACCTTCCTCTCCTCAAACACGTCTCCGTCTCTCTCGCTACAACATCCGTACTACTTCCCGCCTGGAGCCTCACCTCTCTCCCCATCAACGAAAATCTCTTCCTCCTCGTTGCGTTCACCCTTTTCTGGACGCTCTACGTCTCCATCCTCCACACCGCCATGGCCCCTCCCTCCTCCACCTCCTTCTCCCATTATAACTACACATCCACCTCTCCCGTGACCCACGCCTCCATCACGCTCCTCGCCCTCTTCCAACTCACCACCCTCAGCATCTTCACGTATGGTACGGGGCATTCCCCGCACTTCTGGATCCTGGGGGTGGGGGGATGGGCGGTGAACAACGTGTGGCACATGAGGGATTTGGGGAGCGTGGAGTGGTTGTGGAACGAGCGGGCCGGGAGGGTGGCGATAGGGAGGAATATTGGGCTGGGTGCGTGGCTTGCGGGGGCGGAGGTTGTAGAGCTCTGGTTGGGTGGTCTTTTGGTTTCTTGAGGAGGAGTAACAGTTCCAGGGATCGGAGTTTATATATGTGGCGATGGTTTGGGTTGGTTTGGATGCGAGGAGTTATGTTCGAGTTGGGACATTGTGGCGATGGATGAGAAAATCAGATTCGGATCTAGATTCAAGTACTGTAATACCGTGATGCATAATGGATAGATAGGGTGGAGAGGCAGCAAAAATGAGTGTCACAAGAGTACTCTGAAAGTATGGTTCGATGAGAACGTACTGGCTGAGTACACTCCCCCAGATCAGATCAGATGTGTACTCGCTTCCCCTTTCTACTAAGCGAGCCCCTCGTCTGTCTGAGAGTCTCGCCAATTTTGCTCGTTCTACCTAGGATATCAGAAATTCAACTACATCTCCACGAATAAGTCGAAGCCCTCAGTGCAGTTCAGTGCAATGCGGTGCGATTGGGTATATTTCAGGCCTGATTATCCACAAGTTCATCCAAACCCTTCTTCCCGACCCGACAATATGAAAAAGTCGAAGCAGCAAGCAAGCAATCTCCTAACCTATCCAGATATTTGTCTCCCACATCCTTGGCATCTCAAATCGTATACGGTTAATTGAGATGAACCCTATTTACTTTCTAAATGACTGAATGGGTGGGTTTTGAGTATAGTAATCGGTGCGCTGCCTTGTAACCTGGGGGCTTCACAGTCAGCGCACTGAGATGGATTACATAGTCGGAGGGAAGGTTTCGAGAAGATGTGGTCGAAGGCAAGAAGGAAGGAAGGAAGGAAGTGGGAAGTGATTTACCCACTTTATTCGTCTATTCCCCCCTTTTGATAATGGAGGTTGTTTTGTACATATCTACATTCCGAATGGGGTATTGAATTGATTTGAGAAGCCTTTGTGCTTATCGTTACTCTGGGTTGTTGTATCTTGCTCACTGCACGACTCGGGAAACCCGGCGGGCCACCAGCTGCCACGGCCAAGAAGCAATATCTGGATCGACGGCTTAGGTGCAGCAGCAGTCAATCCATTATCAAAACTCCACCCGACTGGGAACCGGGAACCGACCGGCCCCAGAATTCGATCTGTCGAGTAATGAGTGAGTGTGAGGTAGTACGTACCGCTGGCATCATGGCGAGAGATGGATAGGTACTACGTATCCTCGACGGTATGTAACCAGGCTAGATAAGGTAGAGTAAGGTAAGTCGATCATCTCTCTCTCTTCCTGTTTATCCTGTTTTTCCTTTTTTTTCCCCCTTTTTTTCCTTTTCTTCCCTGCTTCCCTGCTTCGCTTCTTCTCTTCATCCCTTCTTCCCTACTTCTTTCCTCCTCCTCTCACAATATCTATATATCTATCTATCTAAGTGTAGTGATCCCGGTCAGCTGAGTCCAGTCAAGATGCAGTACGCAACTGCCCTCCTCCTCAACGTCCTCGCCCTTGCATCTTCCGTGTCGGCGAACCCGCGACGGCACAGTGCGAAGCTGGGTGCTGTCGCGTCCGAGTGCGCGGTCTGTAGTCGCATAGGGACGGATATCTTGACGGCTGGTGGTGGTAACGCCGCCGATGCGGTAAGGACCAGCTTGAGATGAATAAATAGATCGGACCGTACTAATCGTCGGAGACAGATTGTGGCGACGCAGTTGTGCGTGGGTGTGATTGCCATGTACCACTCGGGGGTGGGGGGAGGAGGCTTTGCGACTGTGAGGTCGGAGGATGGGAAATACGAGGTCAGTACCACGAAGATCAGGCTTCTGCAGCTTGGGCTTCGGCTTCGGCTTCGGCTTCGGCTTCAACTTTAGCTTCCCCAGCGTCTCCCCCGACTTCCAGTAAGTATGTCGGTCACGGGTGTTAATATATAGCAGTTTGTCGACTTCCGAGAGACGGCCCCCGCGGCTGCCTTTCAAGACATGTATAAAGCGCAGACCAACCTCTCTCTGTACGGTGGGCTCGCCAGTGCGGTTCCGGGAGAGTTGCGTGGTCTCGAGTATATCCACCAGAAGTACGGATCCATTCCCTGGAAGAAGTTGGTCCAGCCTTCCATCAAGCTCGCCAGGTTCGGTTTCGCGGTCACGCCCGATCTTGTCAGCTACATGGGCTCCAGCACGTTCATGGTGACGGATCCAACTTGGGCCATCGATTTCGCTCCCAATGGCACGAGATTGGGATTGGGTGATACCATGACCCGAAAGCGCTATGCAGATATGCTCGAGACGGTCGCCAAAGAGGGACCAAACGCGTTCTACTACGGAGCTCAAGCTGCGGCTACGATCCAAGCTCTGCAGGCCGACCAAGGAACGATGTCTGTTGCGGATCTTGCAAACTACACCGTAGTCAGCAGAGCCGTAGCCAACATCACCTACAGGGGCTTCAAGATCAACACGGGCACTGCTCCTTCAGGTGGTTCTGTTATGAGCAGTATCATGAAGATCATTGAGGGCTATGACATGTCGAGTCCTTCCAGGATCAACGAATCCACCCACTATCTCAACGAAGCCATGCGCTTTGCCTACGGGCAGCGAACCCAGCTCGGAGATCCCGCCTTCTTCGCCAATCTGACTGCCTACCAAGAAGGCATGTACTCCGATGAGACCGCGGCTCTCGTGCGAAGCATGATCATGCCGAACGTGACCTTGGACGTCGCAGCCTACAACCCGAACGGCTACCAGATCCTCAGCGACGATGGCACCTCGGCCACCGTCAGCGCCGACAAGAGCGGCTTGACCATTGCCATGACCAGCACCATCAACACGATCTTCGGCAGCCGCCTCATGGTCCCCGAGACGGGTGTGATCATGAACAACGAGATGAACGACTTCTCCATCCCCAACACGACCAACGCCTTCGGATACATCCCCACGGAAGCCAACTTCATCCGGCCCTTCAAGCGTCCCCTCTCGTCCATCGCGCCCACGATCGTCGAGCACCCCAACGGCGAGGTCTACATCTGTCACGCCTCCGCTGGAGGCTCCCGCATCATCACCGAAGTCGCCCAGCACCTCTGGCACACCCTGGACCAGAACATGACCTCTGCCCAGGCCCTCGCCCAGCCGCGTATGCACGACCAGCTGTCGCCGAACGTCGCCTCGTTCGAGTACGGCAGCGACCGCTACGGCCTCGCGGGATACAGCAACCAGACCACTGCCTACATCGCCAGCACCGGCGCGGCGATCAACTTCGTGGCCGTGGGGGGCTCGACGGCGCAGGCCTTGCGGCTCTTGCCGAATGGGACCTTCGAGGCGGCGGGGGAGCCGAGACAGCTGAATAGTGCTGGTTATGCTGTTTGACGAGCCGGTAACTTCCTGTCTGTCTGTCTGTCTGTCTGTCTGTTTGCATTGTAGTAGGATAAAAGTCCGCGAGATACACGGCTTGGCTTTCGTAGATGGAGCGAGAGCTCTGTCAGCGTATCTCCTATCTAGCCGAGAGCTCATTAATGCATTGGACGATCTTCACAAGATATATATACTTTTCGTGCTCGCATGTGTGTTCAGCAGGAGGACGTGACATGACGCGACGTGACGTGGGCACAAGGATTCTGGACCGCAACACACACAGGACACAAAACTCAAGACACCAAAACCGCAGAATCCATTTGGTATCAACCTGTACGCCAAAGCTAGACACATATATGTATACAAATACCGACCGGTAAACAAATAAAAAAACAAATCAACAAACAGATAACAAACAAACAAACACTGTGGACCTGTCTTTTACCGAGGACTCCGAACCTCCCACCAGAACACGCACCACACCCGAGGGCTCGAACCTCCCACCAGAAAACACACCAGAGAACCAAAGGACGCACCACATCTCGAGGGCTCGAACCTCCCACCAGAACACACACCACACCCGAGGGCTCGAACCTCCCACCAGAACCACCGAACCACCACAACACACCAACCACCAACCACCAACCACCAACCACCCCCTATCTCTTCCTCTTTCCGGCAGAGTCGTCGAGAACCGAGACCGGACCCGGAGCAGGAGCAGGCGCAAAGGCAGGCGCAGAGGCAGGGACGGCGGCGCGCGCCAAGTCGAAGAACGACTGGGCCGAGGCCGCGACTGCTTGTTGTTGTTGCTGCTGCTGCTGCTGTTGTTGCTGCTGCTGCTGCTGCTGCTGCTCGAGCATCTCCCGGTGGTGGCAGAAGAGGAGAAGCGGCGAGATGCCGGTCGCGGCAGCGGCGAAGGCGAGGTCCAGAGCGAGCTGGCGTGAAGAGGGGATCAGTCTCTCCATCACCCAGGCGAGGAAGAAGCTCCCGGCGAAGTCCGGGGTCGTGGCCCAGAGAGCCCACATGGGGGGGTCGGGCGCGATGCCGGCGGCCAAGAGAGCTGGGAAGATGCTCGATTGGTAGTGGCTGTGTGTTGATTGTTGATGTCAGTTTGATGTTGCCATGATGGGAGAGGGATGGGAGGGGAGAAGGGGGGTTGATAGGCGAGGGGATGGAGGGGAGATGGGAGAAGGGGAGGCTCGTGGATAGGCGAGGGATATGGGAGGGATGTAGGAGAGGGGAAAGGAAAGGAAAGGAAAGGGAAGGGAAGGGAAGGAGGTAGGTGGACTTACTATGCGGCTTCTTGGCTACCAACCTCGCCAAACCACTCGTAGTCGGCGGTGAGATCCATGGGATCCCCCATACCAACCACGGCGGCGTAGGAGGTTGGTGCCAACGAGAACACCGAGGACGCGGAGAACACGGACGAGCCGCCGAGAGATGGCGCCGACGACGCCGAGGAGCCGAAGGTGCTGGTGGTGCTGGCGGTGCTGGCGGCGCTGGCGGTGCTGGTGGTGCTACTGCCGAAGGACGAGGCAGGCAAGAAGTTGGACGAGGGCGGAGGAGGAGGAGGAGGAGGAGGAGGAGGGGGCAATGGCTGGAGCTGAGCCAAGGAGGCGGCAAAATTCGCTTTTGCGTTTGCAAGCTTGCGGGCTTTTCCAGGGCCGACCATCTTGCCTGTTGTTGTTGTTGTTGTTGTTGTTGTTGTTGATGTTGTTGGTGGTGGTGGTTTTATTGTTGTGAAGTGTGGTGTCTGTGTGAGAGATTACAGCTGAGAACTTGGTCAAGAGAAAAGAAGGAAAGGAGAATTTGGGAGCAGGAAATTTGACTTGTAGGTTTGCGAGGACGCTAGTTGACAATACCTACCGCTTGACAATACGATGCTGAGTGACAATAGCAGATCGCTAGAGCTCGGTACAATAGGATTCACCTGATATTGTGGACCGCTGGTATGGATGAATGCCAAGACATTGGCCACGATGAGGACATGTCCGCGGTGAAATCGACCTTTTTCAGTCAGTGGTCAAAAAATCAAGATAGAAGCACGAGTTCCAAGATTAAAGAGCCCATGGTTTTCGTATCAGGCCTTTTATAGTTCGCATCCGTAACAGACATTAGGAGGTGCGATGTCACGACGTCTGGTTCTCGCTTAACTCAGGGGCTGGAAAAACATCAAAGGTGAACAGCTCGAAAATCAAGTGTTTACTCGATCCACTCGTCATTCGAACGAATTATGGCTCTCATATGCAGCGAGGAACTTTTCATAGCTAGTACGGTGGCCCGTTATCTTCCCAGGGTAGATTTGTTGGGCTTGAGACTGCACCCAGGTTCCCAAGATAGTCTGGGGCAGGGTGCTGAGGATGGATTGATTATCTATATTGAGCACGAGAAGACAAATACTATACATATTTTGGCCTAGATAGCCCCCTCTAATTTCTAGAGTTTTTTTTCAAAAAAAAAATCGCGGGAGCCAATGTGGAGAGTCGTGATTCCTCTTCCATACGGAGGGGCACCAAGGTGAATACGCTACACTCTAGACGAGTTCCGGTTGTTTTGGATGAAGACGATTATCTGTTTATTCAGACCGCAGAATGATTCTAAGCTCTTGAGACTTATATCCCCCCCCCGTGAGAGTTCTAGAGATATTAGCCAAAGCTCCATTTATTTTGTGCAGCGGTCTCTTCTGTACGTAGGGAACCTTAGGCTTGAAATTGAGGCTGAAGCATCGGGAAGCCTGGCAGAGATTCTGATCGAACTAGTTTCTTTTACCAATAGTTAGATTTTAGTCCCAATTGGATTCAAAATATGTTGAAGATGAAGCACGAGGGGGGCAAGACCGACCACACCTGTCACCCCCCGGCCGACCCCCTTGCCAAAGGAGCTATGGCTCGATGTCCTCATGCTCCCTTCCCAGGCACACACACACATATATACCAAGAAAAAAAAAATTATGTACTTTATAGAAGCCAACTCCCCGATCACTTCCATCAGCAGCGAGGAATGGCATGGTGGTTTAGTGGCTATGAGCCGCTGGCCGCTTCCAAGTACACCTGTTGATAACAACGAAAAACCTATTCAATTAGGTTTGTAGACTGGAACCTCTTAATCCCACTCCCATGGATTTGAGTTTCCAGTTGAGTTTTGCCAAAATTCTGTAATTTCTTTTTTCATAGTTTTTTCATTTTTTTAGGAGGGTATTATTTTTTTATTCTGTCTGATAGGTAGTGGGAGATGGTTGACCTCACAACAGCAATAGCCATATGTATATGTATATATATATATAATTCAATACAGCGCAAGAAGTTCGATACAACGCCGCCAAGTCCAAATGCTCGAATATAGAGACGGCCCGGAGTCATTTGGAGAGCAGGCAGCCTGCGATGCATATCTGTCTGGAGACTCTGCATCGAGTGGCATCAGACTCCCGCGAATCTCTGAATAGGTCCGTCGTCTAACAACCGTGCGGATATGTAGATCCCAGCACTACGCAAATGGCCAAGCAAGACAAGCTGCTACGGTAAGGAGAAGACAACAATTGGCAAAGCTTGATTTCTTGGATTGTTTAAATTGACGTCCATGTACATACAGTACAGTAAAAGTTGATCTTGAAGTGACGTCAATTGGAATTTGAGCTTTTTGTTTGTTTAATACCGACGGAGGACTTGCGCTCAATCAGTCAACTCTCAGCCCTCAGCCCTCAGCCCTCAGCTCAAACGCCGAACTTCCGCAACACGAACACGAACACGCCGTCGTCGAATCGCATGCTACGCCACCGCGCCGTCGCCATTCTGAGTTTGGCCTTGAACAAACATGCGACGCGCTGGCATCATGATCGAGCGCACCCCGTTTGGCCATGAAATTCCCTTGATACCCAGATTTTGATTTTGATTTTGATTCTACAAACAGATAAATCCTTCTTTACTTAATTCTCATCGTCCATCCATTCATTCACGTCAATTGTGCTCCTTCCCATCCCACTTGATTTGAAACGCGTCGGCGAAGGCGAAGAGCCTCCTCCTTCTCTCTGCCTGACAGCAACTCCATCCTCCTTCAGGCGCAACCTCCCCCCCCAACGACTACAATTCCATCCCACCACCCACCACGCAACGCCGCGCAAACATGCTCAACTCAATCCCTCTCCTGGCTCTGTTGAGCGCTGCAACTGTGCTCGTCGGCTCAGCTTCTGCTGCTCTTGACCCGATTGTCATCAAGGCACGTCTACTGTCTGTTTGCTGGGAAATGTATGCGACCACAGCTAACCAACATTCTACATATCTCCAGGGCTCGAAATTCTTCTACAAAACCAACGGCACGCAGTTCTTCATCAAAGGTATAGCTTATCAACAGGGTATCGCACAGAACGGTGGCGGGTCTGCCAGCACCAACGTAGGCTTTCCCACCCGCCCAGAAACATATATACATTGATATCTATGGACAACTTACAACGGCCGGCTGACTCTCGCAGACCGGCTACACCGATCCTCTCGCAGATACTACCTCCTGTACACGAGATATTCCTCTCCTCCAAAAGGCCGGCGCGAACGTGATTCGTACCTACGCGGTCGATCCAACCAAGGACCATACGACATGTATGGGGCTGCTGGATGCCGCCGGCATTTATGTTATCAGTGATCTGGGCGAGCCAAAAACCTCCATCAACCGTGAAGATCCTGAGTGGAATGTTGAACTGTTGACCAGATATACATCTGTTGTTGACTCTCTGGCAAACTATACTAACGTGATCGGCTTCTTCGCCGGCAACGAGGTACCCAACAATCTGACGTACACCGGCTCCTCCGCCTTTGTCAAGGCTGCTGTCCGCGATACCAAGGCGCACATCAAGGCCAAGGGCTATCATGCGATGGGTGTTGGATACGCCGCCGACGATCTTCCCTCTGTCCGCGCCAATGTTGCAGCTTACTTCAACTGCGGCCCCACCGAGGATCAGATTGACTTTTGGGGATACAACATCTACGAATGGTGCGGCGACTCGAGCTATGTTCAGTCTGGTTACGCTGCCCGCGTTGCTGAATTCGCCGGATACTCTGTGCCATCCTTCTTTGCGGAGTATGGCTGCCAGACTCAAGGCGGTGGAGCTGCTGGCCGGAAGTTCTCTGAGATTCCTGCTATCTACGGATCCAACATGACTGAAGTATTTTCTGGTGGAATCGTCTACGAATTCTTCCAGGAGGAGAACGACTACGGCCTTGCGTCCGTGGTAGGCCCATCCTCCATCAGCACGCTCGCTGACTACGCTCCTTTTTCTTCGCGACTCAATGCCGCCACCCCCACTGGAGTCAACTCGGCGAGCTACTCTCCAACCAACAGTCCAAACGCCTGTCCTGCCGTGGCCTCCACCTGGGCCGTTTCCCCTTCTGGCCTCCCCCCTACGCCAAACCAGGCGGCTTGTGAATGTATGATGGCTACCCTGTCCTGCACTGTCAATACCAAGAACGTCAACGATACCCAGATCAGTGAGCTCTTCGGTACCGTCTGTGGCTACAACAATGGCAAAGCGTGCGTCGGGATCTCCACAAACACCACGACCGGACAATACGGAGCCTATTCCATGTGTAGCCCGGAACAGAAGCTCTCGTACGCTTTCAACCAATACTACGGCCAACAGAACAAGGCCTCTACCGCATGTGACTTTGGCGGCGCTGCTCAAGTCGTCAAGGCCGCCGGTGCTGCAAGCAGCTGCTCCAGCGTCATCGCCGCTGCGACGTCTGGCAATCCCGTCCCAACCGGTAGCGGCTCCGATTCTGGCTCTGGCGCCGCGGGCACTCCGACTAGCAAGAAGAGCGAGGCTCCCGGCCACGCCCTTGGTGCAAGCCTGGGAATGGGCAAGTTCTTTGCTGTGGGCTTCACGCTCGTGGCTCTCCTTTCCGGTGCTGGGATGGTGCTTTTGTAAAACGCGTGGTTGGTGCTTGGATCAATCGCACATTAGGCGGGTTGGAACACTGGGCTGTAATCGTAGTAGATCCTTAGTGTATGATATGATAATGCCACAATGGTGAATTTCAGCAAGGGTTTTTGTAGTGTTGTAAGATTTGATTCCCAGGGCCTTGATTCGATTTGATTTGGTTTGAGTAAAAGGTTTTTTTCATTTTTCCCGTTCCCCCCTCCACCCCATTTTTTTTTGTATAAACTTGTATAAACTTGTATAAACTTGTATAAACTTGTATAAACTTGGATAAAATTTTATTCACTGAAATGAAATGAAATAGAATGAGATGAAATAAGATGAAACAAGATATGTAAAAGGCGCAGAGTTCCGCTTGTAAATAGTGTTTCTGTCTGTCTGTCTATCTGTCTGTCTGTTTGTTTGTGTTGAAGCTAAGAGGTAGGTAGGTAGGTAGGTGAATGGTGGGTAGTGTTTTGACTTTGGCCATGGTTTATTCTTGTGTACCTATAGTTGGGTGAGAGGGATGAGGTGGATAAGGGGCGTGAGGTGGATGGACGAGAGGAGAATAGAGTTGAGATGAGATATCGTCGTGTACAAGACAAGGGCAAAGGGTATGTACAAGCACAAGCAGCTACGAGAAGGTCCAATCGAGAATTGAGGAGAAAAGAAACAAAAACAAAAACATAGCGCCCGCAGGATAGAGAGGCAGGATCTGATCTGATCTGTACGATGGATAAGTTTGGGGACTATATTCGGGATGGTATTTGTCCCCACTTCAAAAATCCTCCCAGGCACCGCTACAGATAGAGGTAACGCAGTCGTCTCGCAACGGCTGTCGAGGCCGCTGGATGGCATCTCAAACACAATCGATAGCTTCGAGAGACGCTTTCAAGAAGTGATATTATCCATAGACTCCGGACCCGATATCCTCCAGTGCCAAGCTTACCAAGCATATACCCTGGGACCGGTCACGACACGACAAGCCCGAGGCCAGAAGTCGCTTTTGCACCTGCAATGCCCGTTAAACGCCACCCCAGATCTTATTTCATACACTCAACAGCCGCGTCCAGATCAGGGCCGGGGGGCCTGTTTTTTGAATTGCATTCTCCGCAGCTGGATTAGCATACCCGCGTGATCGTATTCTTTCTTCTTGGGGTCCCACGCTGCCTTGACATCAAAAACAAGCCATGCGTTCGGACAGTCGAGTTCCACCATGCCAGACACTAAAATGCTCCCTCTGGCAGGTAACAGCGGGGCGGGCCGCCATGTCTGCGCCAGTTTGGTTTTAAATGCTGCGATGGGCTTGACGAAGTATGCCTGAATGGCGCTGGTTAATTGCGCTCCTTCCGTCCCTTTCCCCAATTCTGAGCCTTTCCCCATCAATGCGGGCTTCGCGCCACCATCCAAAGCCTTGGGTGGTGGGGCGTCGCTGGTAGGAAGCTGGGGGACTTGAGGGGGGCCCTTCAATAGTTTCTGATTTTGAGTTACCAACTGGTCAATCGCTGGAGGGGGAGTGCCAGATTTCAGTCCGAGCGCGCTGGCAAGCCGCCTCGATTCGTCGGTGACTAGGACCTTTGTGAGACTCCAGAATGAGATTGCCAAGGCCTTCGGCCACATTGCATTCCGGATACTGCCTACAGTCACTGAGTCGACAGGCCGGCGTTTTATAGCTATGTAGCCCTCTCCGCTGTCCTTTACTCCTATTTCAAGACTATGGTTGCACAATCAGTCTCCGGACTAGGAGCGTCACTCGGATCCATACGTACCCTTTCCTGTCAAATATGGGCGGTGCGTGCTGAGGGAAATCCACATCAAGCCAATATCTTCTTAGCTTCATATCTTTTCCACAGCGTACTGACAACATAGGGTGCAGAGCGGCGACATGGGCGACGTAAGCTGCGAGCTCGTCTAATTATTATTAGTGGTTGACTTGCTTGTCGTGTCAAGGTGAACGATGTACTAACCTCGCACTTTTTGCGACATGTTCTTGTCTTTGTTAAACTTCACGAACTCGAGCCATTCCGGATCGGTTCCACGGTACGGCATAGGCGGGTGTTGTTTTGTCGTCCCGGGGAGTGGGATGAAATAGGGCTCGGTTGAGTTCTCCAAATGCTCTTTGGGTATGTGCTCTCCAGCCTCAACAACTTTTCGCACGAGGGGTTCGAGAACGAAAAACGAATAAATATTGGTGCAGACGACAGTCGTGATAATCACGATGCCAACATTCCTGCAGAGAGATTGGTGTCAGCGCGTGTCCTGAGAGCCCTGGAATACAGCCAACGTACTTTGCCCAGGCCCATTTTGCTTTTTGAAACCGAACCGGCTGGATATTTGTGACTTCTCCCGCCTGCCTTTTCGCCTCCAAACTCAAGGGCAACCTGCTTAGAGAAAGAAAAGGCCTTGTGTGTAATTTTGGACCTGTGGAAGCAAGACTCCTATGGGGGCGTATGTAGCGGAACATGCTGAGAGGGGGAGGGGGGCTGCTGAGGCCCGAGGCCCGCCTCGTCGGTGGCGAGCCCTTGGAGACTGGCGGATGCTCGCTGTGTAAGTGGTGTGCGTTCTGGAAGAAGGGTCGCGGGCGATGTGCGGCAGATGCTGGGTCGAGCCGGAGTGTGCGATGATAGAGAAGAGATGTTGGATCAGGTCGGATTGTCGTGCTCCTTTGAATATTGGGTCACTACCCGGTGAGAGGCGGCAGAAGGCCAAAACGAGCAAGGCGGTATACACTCAGTATCCGCGACAAGCTCCAGTACAGCATCGTCACTTTCGTAGAGCTGCACTGCACTCCGACTTCCACATTCCCCAACAGCTGCGAGTTTAATCATGAAGCTCGCCACCAGCTTCCTGCTGCCGGTCGCCATCGGTGTCGCCTCTGCCATATCGGATGCGAGCGTCTACATTTTCGATGCGAATCTGCCATCAACCGCCACGGACCCCCCAACCCTCAATCCAGAGCAAGCACGTTTAGTCTTCGCCCAGCGCCTCGGGGTATCACAGTATCATGGAGTAGGGGATGCTAGTGAGACTACACTGTCATATATCAACACGTTTGGAGGGCCTCGGGAATTGCTGTTCCAAGATGCGAGAAATGAGAAGGCAGCAGAGCTGGTTCTGCTCGTGGAGGGCGTTTCCTCTGATGTCGAAGGGCCTCTTCTGAGCGAATGGGCATCCACCAAGCCTTCTTTCACTATATCCGAGCCTCCGTCGATGGCTGCGAACAAGAAGCTCGTGTTAGATCTCCAAAGGCAATCCGGGCAAAGTGGCAGGAATTGTGACTTGGAAACCGCTATCAACCCATTTGACACAAATTGCTGGAATGGAAGATCCAACGTTATCCACTTCGATTTGACGTCCAAAACGGTACGACGGGAGAGGTTGGGACTTATTTGCATTGGCTGACTGCTGAATAGGGTGGCTCAAAGATTGACGAGTTCATGGCTGCTCAAAAGCGATTGGTTCGATTCGCCAAAAAAGAGGAGATGAACGTAGTTGTGGTGCTCATGCCCGAAGACTCTCGGGCACTTAAGAGCTCCTCGAAACATTACGGATATTATGAATTGCCGTCCCAGCTCTCAGTCGGCAAGATGCGTCGACAAACTGCTGAAGAACCCATGACGGAAGTTCCAGCCGCATCTGCACCCCCGAAACTGTCCAATACACAACAACAATCTCCTGATCCGACTCAAAGTTCGGCGATAACCCCATTGCCCAAACTCCCACAACTCTGCTACGCATCCGAGGAGGCCTGCGTTTCCTCAACAAACAACTGCTCCGATCATGGGTCTTGCTACAAGAAATTTACGACGAAGAAGGCAGCATGCTTCACCTGTGGCTGCAAATCGACGAACGAAGGCTTCCTTCACGCCAAGAAACAGTACTACACCACAGTCAACTGGGGCGGCTCAGCATGCCACAAGAGAGATGTCAGCAGTCCATTCTGGCTCATTGCTATTTTCACCGTGGTCTTGGTGGGAACTGTCAGCTGGGGAATTGGCCTGATGTACAGCATTGGAGAGGAGACGCTTCCAGGTGTAATCGGCGCTGGGGTCTCGAGCAAGTCGAGATAAGTAGACTTCTTGTGCGATTTGACGGACTCGATTCGATCATCTTTTTTCCTCTTCGTGGGTCAGCGGCGTTCAGAATCATTGTACTTATTAGGCTCGATGCAGATGTATAGAACTACGGTCTTTTGGCAGCTTGCAACATTTATGGTTGGACGTGGAAGTTTCGAAGTGTTGATTCGTTACCAGAACATCCATAGCCGAGGTGGTCAAGCGATACCAGATATCTATCGGGCGAGTTGTCGAGAAGAAAGATGAAAGTATCAGGACCAGAGCACTTCAAGCCCGAGGCACATCTGTCTTTACGCCAGAGAAGATTTCTACTGCTCCCAAAGGCTACGAATGCTTACTCCAAAGTATCTCGGGTCTAAACCATGATTATTGATCTGGTATTCCCGTCCTCTCCCAAGTGGGGTACTTTTTCAATGGGCTGTCTCGGCCTACAGCTACGAAGTCGATTTAAGCATTCCCTACTTGTGCTGGTGAACCTCGGTCCTATACAGTCCATTGTTTTTTGTCCAATTAGGTACAGCCGTACCCCATTCCAATTCACACTACCATCTGTACAGGCCGCTCTAGATTTCCATCTGTTCTAATTCGCTGACGTCAGAAAAAGTATGGGCAAGACATCCGTTGCCGCTATTCTGATGTCCGAGCGACGTCGAAGAGGCTCCTGCATGTCACTCTCTTCAGACCTTATTCATCTCTCAATCGCCCATTTCTTTTTGACGTTCTCTCATATTTCGTTGTATCATGAGATGCTAGCAAATTTGTATTTTGTAACAAAAGGTTTCATTTGGGAGAGGCGGGATAACGGCAATAAGTTTGTCGTCCGGTTTTGTAGATTTGGCAAAAATGACTCCTGTTCTGGAGACAGCGACATCTCGTGTCAAGGCCGAAGCCAAGAAGCCCGACGAGGTCCCCATAGCCAAACAGCCCAACTCCCGGGCACCTTCGGGTCTACGGGAACGGATTCTACGTACCCCGCTACCGTATTATTCAGGGCCGTATAGCGTGGGAATGATGGACATCGAAGTGCCCGTAAGAGAACCAAGGCATTTCTCCGACATTACTCGGAAGAAGAAACATCTGCTGGAACTCGAGACGGTCTTGTTCACCGTGTTCTACCCATCAGGCTTTGGTTCAGGACACGGGACCTCACCTGAAGGCGAGAAACGGTGGTCGCGGCCGACGTGGCTACCAAGGCCGAGAGTAGAGGTTGCGAAGGGGTATGCGAAGTTTTCTGGAATGCCCGCGGTGCTGTGTGTACCGTGGTTTGGTGAGTCCCAGCCATCCCTATCGGCAATTGTGTGATGGGCGAATCTGATGGTATGAAGGTGCCACCACGGCCTTCACCAAGCTGCCGGCTTTCCGAAATGCAAAGTTGGCGGAACACTGGCCGCCGGACAAGAACTCGCGAGAAGGTGGGTATGAGACGAAGAATAGGGCAGGTACTCCTCCCTCTGGCGAGCCAGAACATCCCTGTTTTCCTCTCCTGATATTCAGCCATGGATTGGGTGGTACGAGGACTACGTACAGTTCTGTGTGTGGCGAGTTTGCCAGCTACGGCTTTGTGGTGGTCAGTCTCGAGCACAGAGATGGCAGCGGGCCAAGGACATTTGTAAATCTCCCCAACAATGCTGCGTCGAGTGACGAGGCGAGAGAGAAGGGTTACTACAAGATGGACTACGTGTTTCCAAAGGGAAATGCGAAAGACACGATGCCGGGAAACAAACAAGGAGTGGACGCGGAACTTCGCTCGGCGCAGATACAGCTGCGGCTGGCTGAGATTGAGGAGGCGTATCGGGTCATGACGCTGATCCATGATGGACACGGCGAGCAGATTGCCAGAGCCAACCTGCGTGGGAAGACGGATGGAGCAATCGGCGGGAGCTCGAGGGGCTTGAAAGGTATCAGCTGGGATATGTGGAAGAACAGGTTTCATCTGCAGCAAGTCACCATGCTGGGACATTCATTCGGTGCCGCAACCGCGGTGGAAGTTCTGCGTCACGAAGACCGGTTCCAATTCATCGGACAAGGCATCATCTACGACATATGGGGCGCCGCTATCCAGCCTCCGGAAGCCGCCCCAGAGCACCGGATTAGCACACCCGTGCTGGCGATCAACTCCGAGGCCTTCATGTACTGGCCCGACAATTTCGACGCTGTCATGTCCCTCTGTCGCGAGGCCAAGGACCGGGAGGCGTTGGTGTGGATGATGACCGTCCGTGGCTCGATCCACGTCTCGCAGTCCGATTTCTCACTGCTCTACCCTCGGGTCTGCAGCCTCCTCCTCAAGATGACGGTCAACCCTCGCCGAGCAATCGACCTCAACGTCAACGCTTCGCTCGAGTTCCTGAAGCACGTCATGCCGGCCCGCATCTCCGCCATGAACCGAGGGACGAACGAGCACCTCCTCGAAGTCGAAACCCTCAACAAACTCCCCACCGAGCATCAGCCCGCCAGTAAATGGACCGCCGTGCGCCTGCGCATCCCGCACGAGATGCGGATTCGACTCACGCCGCAGTGGCTCCGACGACGTGCGCAGAGGAAGAGGAGGGATTCAGTCGTGAGGCACCTACCGCGGGATCCGAGTGGGAACATCCTGGAGGGACTGGAGGATTTTGAGCCGGGAGAGGAGATTTGGATGCATGTCGCGCCGACGAAAGATGAGCTGAAGAGATATGGGATAGCGCCTGAAAAGGGGCTCCAGAGTCACGGGGAGGATGTCCACGGGGACGGGATGGTAGATACTACGGGGGACGAGGGGAGAGCGAGGGAACAGCACAGGGGCATCGAGCAGAAATACATGGACCGAGGCTGAACTCGGATGGGGGAGGGAATGGGGATGGGGGGCGGGGGGGGACGGATTCCTGTCAGAAGTTGACAGTGGTTGGGGTCCAGCGGAGTGGTGGGTGGATTATGAAATGTATCCAATCGCAAGGTATACCGGTATATGTAGTACTACGTATATGTAAATACTCTGTACATCCTGCAGCAGCTAATGGACGATCATTGATATCTGGCAATATCCCTTATGTCTGCTTTGACACATTTTCCCCCTTTCTTTTTCAGCTCTGCTGCAAGAGCCAGCAGCGGCCGACGCACCCACCACGTATTCAAATGCGCCAAGTATTTCTCAAGGTTCAATAAACCATCGTTGTGTTATGATCGTCTCGCTCGAGCTCTCCCTCTCTCGTAGGCCAGCGAAGACGGATTTCTGAGCCTGTACGTGGCGCTGGCTACGAACCTGCGATATTCTCAATAATATTCGTGGAGCCGATCAGAAAACGCACTTTTTTCAAAAGGTAATCGAGGCGATGCACTTTCATGCTAACCGTATTTTTCGTATTTGCCGACAGAACGAACGACGATTAGAGATACGGAATAAGTATTATAATATACTCTTTCGTATATAACTCGAACCCGATCTTACCGATTAGCTCGATAACTCTATCTGACGATTGAATTCGACCCTTTTTCTTAAACCCGGTACGATAAGCGGTATTCACGATCGATTATATAAAAACGTTAAAGAAACGAAGTAGATACGGTAGCGGCCTAGCTCTCGAAACTCTCGAGATTGCTATACGATAAAAGAACCTTTAGCAAAAGCTGGCTCGAAGACGCTTACAACTATAATCGATTACGAATACAAGAGGTCGGACGAAAGGAAAAAGGAAAAAGGATCTTGGTCGGATACTCGATTGAATGGTCGAAAAGACGGTGTGTCGAGCTGCTGATAACTAATCGCAATAAGAGGCGACCGCAGCAATTGATACTTTCCAATTAGATTTGCCGTTAATAAAAAGCATTAAGATATATTAAAGCTGCAATACCGCGAGATCAAAGAGCCGAGACTTTATATCGATTTAACTTTTTTCTTATAGGTTTTTGCTTTATCGGTATAGATACACTTTATATTTAAAAAACTATTTAATTAATTAAGATACCATTTGCTTTTGCGAAGTGCGTATAAGTGGGACTTAATACCGGCACGCCATTATACTCTTAAGGAGGTGGTAAGTCGGATTCCTTTTTAAGACTCGCAACAGGCGTTAAAACAATACTGTTACTACTACTCTCCCTTTCTCGTCGCTACTGTACTTTGTAGTAAGCGATCCGAAGACCATGTACATGCAGGCCACGGTCATGCGTAAACATGCTGATGGATATTTATACGTATCAGCAGGTTAGTTGCGCAACTTATACTTTTCCTCTTCTCTTACAGTATCCCAGAATTTATTCTTATAACAAGGTTTATCACTAGTTGTATTTGATATCTTGACTTTGGGAATGAGAGGCGGACGGATCCTTAGGCGACGCATGTTTCAATTGAGTATATTTTTACTTGAGGCATGCAGGGGGATGGGGAGTACAGTACAGTAAGTACCAAGTAGAAAGAAGCTTTTGTTTTTGTTTTGTTTTCGCGAGCCTAACCGAGCCGAACGGAGCCGAACGGAGCCCGAGGATTGACCTGCCAGGGAGTGAAAAAGGGTGGCAAAGAGGTGGAGGTCCGAGGGGTGAGAGGGCTGACGAATTGACGTGGGCAGGGCATTTATTGTTTATGATGATCGAGATTGCTCTGGTGGCCGCGTGGGAAACACGCCGTCCATTCATGCATTGTCATCCCGATCCTGATTTGAACTCAATATCAAGACGCAGGTCTCGCTCTCGCGCGCGCGCGCGCTCTCGGTGTTTCATTCTCTCTTCAGCTGGTGGTTCGTCTGATCTCATCGGTGCCCGTGCCCATCCGTGACAAGACGGCACTTCTTCGCGTCGGGTCTCACTAAAAATAGAGAAGAATATCTCTATCGCACCGGAACCTGCGACGGGCACAACAAATCGTCATCGACAACAACAACAACAACAACAACAACAACAAAAATAACAACCACCCTCGGTGAGTCAGTCCAAAAGTCTGCGTGCTGTACCGGAAGCTGCAGCATCAATCATCCCGCGTCTTCCGTCGTTTGAGGTATCTATTTATATTCCATTTCCGATATATCTCTCAGTCAAGTCATTCATCAGCTTGCACCGTCTCTTCGTCCCCCTTCCTTATCTGTATTCACCTCTTCCGTACCCAGACCTGCACGGAAGAAACATTCGCTGCACGTCTGAATAACACAAATACATACGCACGTACCGTATTGAGTTCACCGCTGTTCACCACCCCCCCCCACACCTGGCTGAGACACTATTTCTACGCCGTCTGCTACGGATTTAATACCATGCTTGATACAGTATAGAGAGAGTCCAGGAGCCCGTCCCCTCGAGCCTCTACCGCAAGCCGCAATGACGGACACGCTGAGCAATCCCCCCTTGGGGAGTGAGAACACCCTCCAAAGACTGCTGGATCAAGAGCAGAAGAATAAGGTACGTCGGGTACATACCGTTGCCGTTGCATCACGTCAACTCGGGGCAGCCCTTACCTGCACTGGGCCGTGGCTAATGTAAAATCTGGAATTCCACAGATCGAACGCATCAAGGCCTCGTTCCCATCCTCAGCCGCGTATTCTGCCTCGCCCTCGTTCACCTTTCCTCTGGCACAACCCTCTTCGATAAGTCAACCTGGTCTCGCCCTGAGTCCCGGCCCCAAGTCAATGCTGAGGCGCTCTGCCCCTCCCCGGCTGCCGATAAAATCCATAGGTCGGGCTGTGACAACCCCCTTTTCCTCCGTTGCGCCGGCTCCCCTTCACCCATCACACACGAAACCTACGAGCAACGGCACCTCGACCAAATACCTTGCTTTCATGGCCGACGAGGGGATACCCCAGGGCGGGGAAGCGAACGAGAGAGGCTCGGATACCTCGTCGATATGCCAGTCGCCCGGCTGGGAACACTACAACGCGAACAAGCAGCAGAAGTCCACAGAGGTGGAAGGAGAGCGGAGGAAGAGAGAGCCCGAAGTCACCAGTCCGCAAGCTCGAGAAGGGAAACGGAGCGAGGGTGCCAGCCGTAAACGTTTGAGCAAGCCTCCACCCACCAGCAAGCGCCTTACTCAGATGGTTATCTCGCCGGAAAGGTCCATGTCTGCTCCAGCGGTGCCAGGCTTGCCTTACAGACAAGGGATGAAGGAGAGAAAGAAGACAGTGTCCGGCAAGGACAGGAGAGCGAGTGTGGACACCAGCCGGAAAGCCTTCATACCGTGGAAGTCATCACCGAATTCGCCATCGACCCCCCCCGCAAACGGCTCGTCGAGGAAATCGTTTGCGATGAAGCCGACAGTTGATGACGGGGGTTTCATGGGGGGGCTCAAGCTCGAGCAGCTTATCATACGCCAGCAAAACACCTCGTCCGGCGATGAAGCGCAGCTACCACCAGTGCTGCAGAACGACAGGAACCCAGACCCACGGAAGAGGGCAAATATCAGAAGCAGCAGCACATCGATGGCTGATTCGAGCCAGCACCCTTCTTCTCTCCATGAAGACAGGTGTGCTCCGGCGGTAGAATCGGTTCGCGATTCCGACTCTCCCGTCGCCCCAGTCAGCCTCCCACCATCGACCGGCCATGACATCCCACCGTCGGAAGGAAATATTCCCACAGGTGGTCGGCCCCATCCCCCTTCGTCGTCGAGGCATTTCCCGGATGCAAAAGAAGCCGGATCTCCTGAGCGGGACAGCGTAATTTCCCTGAATCCCGGGTATTCAGATCTTCAGGATGTCGAAGATGGACCGAAACATGGTCGAGCAGCGTCGATGGCTTCACCACCTGCGGCCCAATCGCTATCTCTTAGTAGTGAACGAGCCAAAACAGCCCAGAGACCTGCGCTTAAGAAATCCTACCCACCTGATTCCGGAGCGCGAGCGAGCTATGTTCGACACCAGCAACAGGAAAGTGAAGCAAAAGCAATCATGGCCCTCCAGGACGCAGATGCCGATGCTGCTAAGAACCCTAGAGGACGTCGGGCTTCCGTCACAAAGGTCATGGCCTACGTGAGATCTCGCAGTCGTTCCCGGCAACCAAGTCAAGATCTGGCTACATCGGCAGGACAACGCAAGCTCATGCCTGATAAGAAATCTGCTGAGAAGAGCCGGCATGAGAAGAAATCCGCTGGCAAGAGCCGGTTTATGTCCGAGGACGACGTAATCAAACAACTCCATCATGAACTGTCCACCAAGTCTCCAGATGGGCATTCGAATCAAACTCGTACTCGTTCTTCATCATCCAAGAGGCCGTCTTTTCAAGGCTTCAGAAACGCCGCGATATCTGCATTTTCCCGACATTCTTCCAATGCGCGCACGGCATCTCCCTCCTCTGAAAAGAGCTTTGCAACCGCGAGAGAATCACAAAGCTCGTCAAAAGCCTCCTCATCGAAACGTGCTTCGATCGAGCTTCATGGTACGAGCGATTCGACGCTGAGAAAAGCGGAGGATGTCTTTCCCGAGGTAGCATCGCCGCCACCTGGGATTTCTGACTCCGGAGTCAATCTAGCCACAGACAGTCGAGCACCTGAGAGCAGGGGGGAGAGGGTTGATATGGGACGGGAACAAATTCCCGCCAATGTCTTGCCTGAGAGTCATGCGCAATCAAATCACCCGAGATCGGCGACGACGGATTCAAGTGAAGACTACTCGACGCTCGATGACTCCTCGAACGTGACAACTCCAGCGGCCTCTCGGCCAAACTCCCAGAAGAATAATATTTCTGAGCGATCTGAGAGAGGACATCTGGACCATCAAATAGTGACGGATACCATCAAGAACACTACCATCACTTTGATCGAAGCCACACCGAAGAGTCCGGTATTGAAAAGTGCGTTCAGTTTCGAGGAGGGTGTCGATAGTGTCGCTCCGCCCAGCTGTGGTAGGGCAGGCGTAGAGCTCGAAGCAACCAAGGATGAGGACCAGATGAAATTGCCAACCGGAGAGAAAGCCTCCACGGACCTCCAAGGCAGCCAGCCAACTGGCCCAATACCAAATGCCCCTCGGAAGTCACCGTCTCCTCCCGTACCACCCATACCCGTTCAATCAGCTTATATCGCAGACCTGCAGCGCAAGCCCAGCATGTCTCGCTCTTGGTCAACTCCCGAATTGCAACAAGACCTTTCCTTCCTCCCCGCTCTGAAACACCAACCTCTCCCTCGTCCTCGGAGGAGCAATGAAAACGACAATGGCAACCCAAAGGGAAAAGAGAATGAAGCCACGCCTAGCAAACTGCCCGTTACGCCGCTCGTCTCCAAATACTCACCTCCCGTCGAAACGCCCCTCAAAACACTGTCCCGCCCACCCACCACCGTGCGCATCGGCTCGCCCCCGCCCCCGAACTCGGAAGGCTCCTCACCTGCACCCTCAAATTATCTCCAGAACGCCCGTCTCAGCCTTCCGCGCTCCCAAAAGACCATCTTCCCTTCCAGCACTTTCAGTCCACACCACCAGATCGGCCCGGACCCCATCGCCAAGATGCTCGTGGTATGCTGCTCCTGCAAATACTTCCACGATATGCCGAGTAAAGTTTACGAGTGCATGACGAAGCCGTACAACGTGGTTACCGATCGCGATCGGGGCGTGAGCGGGGTGGTGAGCACGGCCGTCAAGTGCCCGTGGTGTGGCCACGGGATGAGTACGGCATGCTGTGCTGGTTATGCGGCGATGGTCTACTTGAAGGAGAGGTTGCACTAGAGGTTCGGCGGTGGTCAACTCGGGGCGAATGCATGGATTTGGATATGGCTTTTTAGGGGATGACTCGGTCCTTGGGCGTTTGCATGTTGGCTGGAGGCGTTCTATCTCTGAATGAATGGAAGGCATCATGGATATGAAACTAAAATTGGGGTAGATGGAAGGTGCATCTAATGTATAGCATGTAAAAGTTATGACGCGGCGCAATGGATTTTAGGTCCAAGGCCTTGACGAGGAAAAACGAAATGATTTGCAATGAATTTTCAAAAGTTTAGATGATTTCACTCTTACTTCTATTATCCCTTCCCCTCTCTGTGAGTGACTTTTCTCCATGCTGCGCTCGTCTTGTTGATGGGTACCCTACCTACCTCCTCGCCTAAATAGAGCCAGCCAGGCAGTAACGGATATGGAAAGTAAGTCAAGATGATACAAGCAAGAAGTAATCAAGCGCTGTCTTTGACATGTCATTGTGTTTTGCATTAGCTATTGTGGTATAGGAGAAGAAATTCTGGTCCATGACCTCCTGAATTGTCGCGCAGCGGCGAGCGTCTATTGTTATTTTTTTTTTTTTTTTTTTTTTTTAGTTCGTCAGCTAGATAGACAGAAGGACAGACGGACAGACAGACAGACGGACAGACGCTCATTCCCGTCCTCCTCCCTCCGAATTGCTCCCCTGGTACACCCGCTCGAGGACCTCTCGCGCGTGGGAATCGGCCTGCGCCCGGAGCCGGCGGCGCTGCAGCCAGAGCGTGAGGGGCTGCAGGGCGATGCTGACGCCGACCCAGGCGAGCAGCACGCCGAAGTTCAGGCCGAGCACGTTCTTGGTGCCGAAGATGAGGGCCTTGGCGCCGATGAGGTCGTGGCGCAGGGGCCAGGCGAGGCCCCAGCGGTAGAAGCTGCTCAGCAGCTCGGTCGGGTAGAAGCCGGTCGCGACGTTGGAGATGACCCAGAAGACGAAGAAGACGGGCGTCCAGGGCTGGCCGCACACGTTGTTGACGTTCTCGACGGCGAGGCCGAAGGCCATCATCGCGATCCACGAGAGGAGCCAGTAGATGGCGTAGCCGGCGGCGCCGAAGAACTTGCCGAGGTCGATCTGCCAGACGCAGGAGAGGGCGAGGTAGAGGAGGGAGAGGAAGAGGTAGAGGAGGGGGAGGATCGTCATGCGGTAGAGGACCCAGCGGGCGATGGGGATCTTGCCGATCATGGCTTCGTTGAGGGCGTTGAACATGAGGACGGAGATGAAGGAGACGATGATCAGGTCTGGCAGAGGAGGAGGGGGAGGAGGAGAAGTGTTAGGACTGCCGAAGTCGAATGGGGGGGGGGGATAGGGAACTTACAGATCGTTCCAATCTCTGTCGAGGCCTCGGCTGTGCTGTAAGGACACAAGATCGAGGAGTCAGTATAGATTCATGGCTTGTTTACAAGAATTCTGGAGGAGAAAGATGGGAGAAGGACCACAGTCTCTCCCTCCCACCCCTACCTGGAAGGCCTACCTTGGGATATATGGTGCGGTGTTGTATATGGAGAAGGCGATCGGGATGGGATTCTCAGCCTGTCTCGCCAGAGCCGCTGCATTGCCGGCGTTGGCCCTTCGAAGGGACTCCTGCTTCTGCTTGGCAAACTGCAGGACAAAGCTGTTCAAGAAGCTGAGGATCGGGGGATACGCGAGCGTCGCGATGGTCAAGGAGCTTCGGCCCTCTTCGTAGATGAGATGGACGGCGCCCGTTGGATCGTAGCTGCTGTTGCCCGTCTCGTAGGCGTAGTTCATGGCCGTCGTCGCATTGGCCTGGACCACGATCCCAAACCAGTACTCCTCTTGCTTCAACGCACGCAGCGTCTGCTCGTTGGAATAGTTGTACTTCTCGCCGGGTTCCGAGACGTATCCCAATGTCTTTGCAGGGTTGGCTGCGCGCGCCTCCGCCGCCATGTTCTGTATGTAGGGGCCGACCTCTCCCTTATCAAAGTCGATCACCGCGACGGTGAACGCCGGGACGTTGAACTGGAGAGAGTGATCCGCTCCCCAGTAGATGGACAGGATACCCATGACAATGGCACTCAGAAGCACGACGAAGATGATAAACATCTTTGCCCATGTCTTGCGCTCCGTGGCCATGTAGGGGGACCAAAGTCCGGGCAAAGATCTTTCCATCAATGGCCACTCCGTGTCTTCGAAGGGGCCCGCATGGGCACCGGAATGCCCCGAGAGGTTCTCTTTTGCACCCGCCATATCTGCAGCGGAGACCTGTGAGAGTGCGATGTGATGAGATGGAAGACAGGTCGACGCAGTTACCGATGGAGAAACGTAATGAGAGAATAGTGAAAAGCGCACGGAGATCGATACCGGTACATACTCGCAAAGCAAAGACAAAGAAAGGATGCGTCATCCATAGCGAGTCGACTACCTATCCTACTTGACTCGACTTGACTTGACGTAGGAGTCTATATCGGGACCGGCCGCGGCCGATCCCTCGTCAACGGCGCCATCGGGGTAGTTGGACCGTGATATAGGTAGATAGGTAGTTGCTATGAAAGCGCAAGAGCTAGAGCCAGAGCTAGAACCAGAGCCAGAGCTAGCAGAGCTAGAGCCAGAGCTAGAACCAGAGCCAGAGCTAGCAGAGCTAGAGCCAGAGCTAGAACCAGAGCCAGAGCCAGAGCTAGAGCCAGATCCAAGTCCAGATCCAGAGCCCACGCCAGAGCCACGGGTACGTAGGAGGAAGTGATGATGTCAACATTCTCAAGCGGCCAGCTTTATCACCAGATCTCAACAAACAATTGCATTTGCAACATGTAATTCTCGCCGGCGCATTTTACCGTGGATGCCGCTTTTCGTATTATCATCTATAACATTTTTTCAATTAAACCTCTAACGCGTACTATTTATTGGCCTCTTCGATCTTCGAGTTTAGCGACCGCATCGAGCAGACGCGTGCGCGGGCCTGGTGCCGCTTTCGCGAACCATAATCAAGTAAGTTGACGTAAATGGCAAGCAGCTTACGTAATTCCAAAGCGAGCTTGGGAGTGCACCTACCAAGGTATATACGCGCAATTAAGAGTTCACAGAATTTAAAGAGGCGTGTTTGTTTGAATGATTTGAAATTCGAAATCTTTAGTCTTCAATTGTTAGTACCGGTACTTCAATCACGTTGTCTGCCATTTTGGGATTCTGCCTCCCGTCATCACGCGCACTTTTTAACTGACCAATCAATTCCATTCGTTAAAAAAAGTTATTTGCATTTTTTCATGAGGCCACATTCCCCCTTATAATGGTCGGTTTCCTTAAATTTTAATTCGAAAGAATTGACCGACTTGCTGTAGCAAATCGGCACCACCAAGGCGGGACACCTAGCAAGGCGGGACAGTAAAATTTGCTTCTTTACAATAAATAAAAAATCAACCAACTATTATATAATAATTACTTTTGTATAAAAAGATGCGCCGTATTGATTTTGATATTAATTAATTAATTGAATTTTAATTATAAATTGTTATTCCTTTATTATGTTGAGTTAAAGTAATAAAAATAGTACTTTTGGTATATTCTTTTCGATTTTTGTAATGCGTATATATCAGAATTGCCGCGTATATATTAGAATAAGCGAGGAACACGAAAATCGGACTTTTATTCAAATCTATCAAAAAAATACGTGCATCACTACCAACTTTTATTTAATAATTAATACTTATAACAATATAATATATTAAATCATTTATTTTCGATCTATGTGACGTGTTTTTGAATTAAGGTTATTGCTATTAAGATATTTGCAATAAACAAGTAAATTTGAATTATTTGGGACAGTTTTTGACCATTTTTTTATTACATTTCAATGTATTAAATTACTAAAAATAAATGGATTTTTATAATTTTAATTCACGCTTGTAAAGCGAAATTTTCTAAGCATACAAAGATTTTTTTCTATTTTTTATAATAATAGTTGTTGTTTAATAAGTGGTATACCGTTACTGTCCCGCCTTGGTGGTGCCGACGTAGCTGCGCCAGGTCGGAATTTTTTACAAATTAAATTCAAGGTAACCGACGATTAAGGGAAGGAGCTCTCCGGTAATACAAAGCTTCGCAAGCTCGCTCTGACAACCCAAAAAAGGCCGCGCCCATTTCTCGATCTTTGATCAATCTTTTCTTTCACCTTTTCTTCTCCTAGGTAAGTTCAGCTAAAGGATTGGTAACGAAAGTGAAAGGGTTGTTGTATTGTCTAGAAGAGAAGAATCATCAAGGAAAGAAATGACTCTTCTGCTACTTAGTCTGTGCTCTAATGATATCACGTAGTATAGCCTTACAACATGTCCTTTTTATATTAGTTCTCGTCTTAAGAACTGAACTCTTATGTCTTGTTTAACTAATACTCTTTTTATTTATTTTGTTTTAGCAACCTTTCGAGCAACTCTTGAATATCGACCTTTTAATCTTTAATATGCTTATGCTTTTCTATACTTTATTCTTTATCTTTTCGCTATCTCAATTTCTTAGTTTTTTGCAGATATAGTTCTGCTTTCTTAGCTCTTTCAATATCTCTAAACTCTTTTAATAAACTCGATTTCTATTTGCTATATCTTCTTTTTGTTCTTAGCTTTAACCGGCAAAGAATGCTTTGCCGTGCTTGCTCTTAAGTTTTGATATACTAGTAATCGCTTTTCGTCTCCGTTAATTAAATATGCTATTCTTAAATAAAAGAGTTTCAGCTAATCGATATAAAAGCATTTCGAGATTCTTTTACTATTGATTTGTTTTAAAGTATACGATCTTGAATAGTCTCTTCTTAACTTTAATACTTTAAAAAGTCTTTTTTAAAAAGGGCGCAATTTTTAGCTTGCTATAATGTGATCGTAAAGTATCATTAAAGCGCTAAGAGTGAGCTTCTTAAGCTTCCGTTAGTCTCTTTTTTCTTTATTTTTCTTTTTAATCGAAGAGTCGTAAACGTTATCTCGAAGAATTTTATGCTTTGCTATATATTTTATAACTGCGTTGCTTTAATTTTCGTTTTCTTCGAAGTCAGCTTTTTATAGTCTTTCGAAAAAGCTTTATTAAAAGAAAATCTTATAAATAACTTTCGCATAATACGCTAGAAACGCTTTATCGATCGCTGCTTTTAGTTCGAATCTTTTTTAGATCTTAAATAGCGAGTATCTTAAGTGTTATACTTCTTTCGTATTAACTTCGAATATAATTGATTAGAGTTTTTCCGAGAATATGCTTATCGTTTTGCTAAAAGCTTTTTATATTATATCAATTGCTTTCTTAATTATCTTTATCGATTTTTTTAATGCGGTTAATAAGTTCGTTTAAAGCACTCTTTTTTTTTTATAAACTTTTTTATTATCTTTTCGAAGTAGCTACTAAAGTTTATATAAAAGCTTATAAGCAAGCCTTTTTATAAAAATAAAGCTTTTAAAGATTTTATAACGTAATTCGAGTCTGTTACAGCGTATAAAAAAGTTTAAAAGAATCTTAAGAAGTAATCGATAATAATTAATAAGTATTTGTATTCGTTAAGTACTTCGGAGAATAGTTTATAAAAATCCGCTCTTAACAATTCTATCGAAGCCGACACTATTATTAAAAAGAATAATTATGATCTTTACGTTAGATTATATTTAACGCACTTTATACAGCTTATAATATACAAGTAAATATCTTCCGCTATCGTTAGCTATTACATTTATCTTAACTTCTTTAAAGTAATTCTTATCGTAAAGTGTCTTTTTTAATCGTATGCTTTTTTTAATGCATTTGCTATTTATCTTAGCATTAAGCATGTCTTTTAAGTGCTTCTCTAAAAGAATTATAGCGTTTTGCTTTTTTATTTGTATTTTACTAATTTAATTTCTAAAGCTTTTCTTTTAACTTTATCTACTTGATTTAAGAATTTTTATTAAGTTAAAAACTTTAAAATATTAAAGTATTAAAAACACTTTTCGTATACTTCTATTTTATCTTTTAATATCGAAGCTATCTTAAAGCTTATATAATTATAAATAAAGATCTTTATATATTTCGACATAAGCTTTAATCTCGCTTTGTATTACACTCTTCTTATCAAGCAAAATGCAAAGAGAAAGTTAATATCTTTTTTACTTACTATTACAAATTAAAAAATAACTATAAGATCTAGCATTCTTCTTATTATTTAAATCTTTTTTATTTCTTTTTCTTTTAGCGGGTCGGCTACTTTATTTAAAAGCTTCTCGTAGCTATTTTTTTTGTTTTTCTAAATCTATTCTTTATCTTAAGTTATATTTAAAATGCTATTAAAGTTTAAAAAATCTTAATCGTAATATTCGTTTTTAAAAAAGATAATTCGAGATAAAGCGTTTGCAATTAAGTTTCGACTTCTTTTTATGTATTTAATTATTATATTAAGTCTTTTAAATTCCGTCGCTTACCTCGCGTAAATTCTTTTTTAAATAGACTTAAAAGCAAAAAAGTAAGTTAACGGATAATAATCTATAAAAAGAATGCTATTGTTATCGCATTTAAGCATATAGTTAAACTTTTTAACGAATTCTATTATTATTAATAACTTTCGCTTATACGTTTCGTAATATCTTTGCGTTTTAAATAAAATGAAGCTATCGAATAAAAAAAGAACTTTAATTTTATTATTTTAAATTTATATAATGCAATATCTTTTTGCGTAAGCGCTAGCATTTATATATATATAAATAAGTTTATAAAAAACATAGCCGAATCGTTTTAAAGTTTAATTGCAATGATCTTTAAGCAACGTTAAGAATAAAGCTTTTGCATCTTTTTATACTTAAAGCATATCTTTTATAAGTCGGTATAAAAGTCTAGCTATCTTCGCAAAGTTTTTAATTTAATTTTTAATGATTTAAATAGCTCTTAAAAACCTCTTTGTCTTTTAAGCGTTTAGCGGAGTCGGCTACTTTTTAATGTTCTTTGCCTTTTCTTCTTTTATTAATGCTCTTCCTTTTGACTTGTAAGTTATCTTTAAGACTATAACCTTTCTTATAAACAAAGAGCACTTCTTGAAGCTGAGCTTTAACTGCGACCATAATAAGCGTAGCAATTAATAGTCTTTTAAGAAAGTGAAAGCTTTATTAAAGTTACGTGCTTTCGAAAAGACGTCGTTTATATAATACTTTAGCTTTAAAAAAGAGACTTCTTTTCTTTTATTAAATAATAATGAAAATAATAAAAGCTCCGAATCATCTTATCTTTCGTTTATCGCTATTTAAGACTTAAGTATTAAACTAAAGATAATCTTTATCAGTTCGTTATATATAAACGCAAAACTAATTCTTCTTTAAGTTATGCGTGTTAATTGCATTTATAAGTATCTTAAAGCGGAGAATGCGTATATATAACGATCTTTTAAGTGTATTAAGACGCTTTAATAATTATTCTTTAAATCTATTTAGCAAAACACTTAGTGTTGTAAGTAGTTAAGATAATCGTAGCACTCGCTTAATCTTATTAAAGTGCAACCGAGGACTTTCTTTTTCACTTTAAAATAGTTAAAAGTCATTTTAAACTCTTTTTTTTTAAGCTTCGACTTTACCGACTTTTATATAAAATTAAAATAGCTATTTTAATTTAAAAGCTTGCTATTCGCTATTATCGTGCTTTCGAAGATCCCGTTTTTGACTCTTTCTTCGATTATCTTATATAGCTAAGTAAATTTTATTAAAAGATAACGCTTTAAAACGTTGTTTACAATTAAAGCCGCTTTATCAAGTACTCGATGCTTATGTATGATTAAGTCTGTATAAAAGAAGTCGTTTAACTTAGCATTGTTTAGTTTTCGATATATATATATTAAGATCTAAACTTCTTTTAATTTATTTAAAAAGATTTTATTTTCGAAAGTCAAGCTATAGCTAGATAACTATAAGCTTAAGATTTCGTTTAGCGAGCATTCTATAAGCAAACGATTTACTTTTCTCAGCGTTAAGAAAAGTTAAGCGGCGGTTTGCATTAAGCAAAATTTTGCTAGTATAATTATTATTTTTTTAATAACTTTGTTAAGTATCTTAAGAAAGTGTCTGTCTAAATTAATAAAAAAATTGGTTAGATGCTTCTCGAGATAAATAAACTCTTAAATAAGCTTTCTTTTTGATTCGAAGTTCTTATAATGATTTCTTTGTATTTAAGACTTGTTAGTTTAAGAATTTCTTATTAAAGTTATAAAAAGTTAAAAAAAAGAAATAGTTTAGACCTTGAATAATAGTCTTGTCGAGTAATTATAAAAGAGTAAAAGTGAATTCGTATTAAGCAAAGAAAAAAGCATTAATAAGTGCTTCGAAAGTAAAAGAATTAAAAAGTAAAGCTTAGCTTTTTAAATAAATTTATCGTTAATCTTAAAGCGTTCTTGCTAATTTAGTTTCTCGAGAGTTCAAATTCATTAATATTATTAGACTTAAACTTATATTTTAAGTTATTTTTAATAATAAAGACATCTGAATTTAAAAGTTCGAATTTTATCGTAAAGTTGTCGAAAGATTTCTTTGATTCTTATTTCGAGTATAAAACGAAGTTGAAAGTCTTAAAAAATAAGAAAAAGAGTCTTTAAATAATAATCTTTTTCTTATTTAAAATGTTTCTTTTTATAATTATCTTGCTCTTTTTAATATTAAGCTTTGCGTTTATTAAAAACATTTAAAGCAGACTTAATAAAAGACTTAATTCGATATCTAAAAGACTATTTGATTTTCGAATGAATGCGTAAATTGTTTTTTAAATCTTTAAAACACTAATCTTAACCGTAACGAACTCGTTTAAGTAATATATCTTTTAATTTGCTATTTCGTAATTGACTTTAGCGTAGCCTTCCGATATAAGCTTGCGCACTTTCAAGTCTAGCTTTTTAATTAAGCTTAAAGATATTAATATTATATTTAACTTTTAATCAATAGCGCTTATTTCGATAAGAAGCTTTACTTTAACTGTTTTCTTTTTATCTTTAATTCTGATTTGTAATAAGACTTTTTATACTTTGTCATTTAAATAAATGTGTAAAGCAACTTATACGAGCAATGCGCTTACCGAAGCTTGATTGCTTATTATCTAAGCAAGTCTCGACTTCTTCTTTAGATTCTTCTTCGTAAACAGCTTTTTAAATTGCTTAAATACTTTTAAGAAAAGCTAAAATAGCTTTAGTAGATTGATAGTTGTTTTAAACTTCGACGCTAAGTTTATATAATTAATCGGTCTTTAGCTTTTACGCTCGACGATCTCTTTTAGCTGTCTTAGCTTTTTGCTTTTTTTTTCCTTTGTCTTCTTTTTTTTTAGTTTCTTCGTAAAAGTCTTTTTAATAAGTTGTTTTACAGCTTTTACTATTTTTATATCATTTAAAAACTTATAGATTTTTATTCTTTTTTTGCTCTGTTATCGGCTATGCGAACGTTTATATTTAAGATGTCTTTAGTATTTAATAAAGCTACCTTATACTTTAAGCCTTTTAAGCTGCTTAAGTTTGCTTTATTGCTTAAAGATATAACATCGAAGATATTTTTAACTCTTGCTTTTTTATACTTCTTTAAGAATTAGCTTAATAATATAACTTTTATCTTTAATATCGAAGACGTTAGTATAGAAAATGCATTAGTAAAAGCAGATACCGAGCTTTCTTTTTTTTTTTGAAATGATCTTTAAATAATAAGAATTTATAAGCTTGTTTAAGTATATTATGCTTTTAAGATAAGCTCTTTTTTAATTTAAAAGTAAAAAGTTCGGGCATTTAAGCTTAATATGTCTAATATAACTGTAACTTACGTAAAGAAGTCTATTTTTATTTTTAACGTAAGTTTTAAACTTGTTTACAAACGGATTGCTTAATTTCAAGGCCGGTTTAAAAGATATATAAGCTAGTGCTAGTACCGAGCGATAATTTTGTTTTTAGTTTTATTAATTTATGTTGTTTTAAGAATATGTTAGCTAGTTGTAACTGCTACTTTTTGCATTAAAAGTCGTTTTATAGCTCGGTCTTTAATTGTTTCTTTAATATTTTATTATTCTTAATTTAAAAGCTTCGCTTTAAAGTTGTGATTGCTAAGTTTTGTTTTATGATTTGTTTAGTTATCGTTAAGTAGCTTTAATAAGTTAAGCGAGCTTCGTTAAAATAAAAGCTATTTAAAAAGATATGTATAAATTGTCTTAAAATGCTATTAAAGCTGCTTGCGTTAAGATACTAGTATAATACTTTACAAACTTTTATAAGCGGTCGTAGTATTTCTTTTTTTCGATCTTTGTTTCGATCTTTTCTTTTTTTTTTAAAGCGTTTTAAGACAGCACGAAAGTTTCGTACGCGCGTTATAAGCAAAAGTAAAGCAAAGCGTTATTAGTAAGCGCTAATAATCTGATCTAATCGTTTGCTACTCTTTTAACGAAAGCTAAAGAAATCGATTTTAATATATACTTATTAAAGTCCGACTATATCGAATTTGCTTTCGACACTTCGCTTTTGTTTAAGTCTTTTTTTCGGTTTTCTTAAAAAGAGCAAGCGTTTTAAAATAATACAAAGCTAAGCTTTCTTTTTCACTTTGCTTTAAGTTTAAGACTTCGGTAATCACGTCTTTTTTTTTAATTTGCTTTTCGTCTTTTAAGAATTATACTTTTAGCTATTTTATAACTTTTGTTTTCTTTTTATTTATAACTATCAATTTGTTTATTATAATAGTCTTTATTCTAGAGTTCGACTTAAACTTTTTATTAGCTTCTTTAATAAGCAAGATAAAAATAGCTTTTAAATACGTTAAAAGTAAAAGGTTTTCTTAGCTTGCTTGCTCGAAGTTATAATCTAGCTTATCTAGCTATAGCTCCGCAAGCATTTTTTCGTCGTAGTCTTTATATCTCTCGAACTTTAGCATTTTTACTTAAGATATCGTAAGTAAGATCTTATTTTAAAAGAGTTTGCTTTGTATTGTTATAAATAGACAAGCGTTTTGCAATTGATTACTTTAAGTAAAAGTTTTAAAGAATCTTGTACTAAATAGATCTTTAGATTAATACGTTTTCAGCTTTGCTTTTAAGCTGAATTTAACAACTAAAGTATCTTCTTAAAGATAGCGTAAGTCGTTAAAAGAGTTGCTTTCCGAATCCGATCTTAAAGCAGCTAATACTAAAAGTAAAATAAGACTTTTTCTTAGCTAAAAGTATATTGTTAAAAGTAAGCTTAAGACTCTGCTTTTATAAAAGAAAAAAAGTAAAGTTAGCAAAAGCGTAAAATCTGTCAACAATCTTTATTTAAAAGTAAAAAGCCGTTAAGCTTTTTCTTTAAACAGTTAGTTTTTTTCTTTTGCAGAAACCGGATCTTTAATTTCTTCTTTTAAAGTGCGTATTGTCTTTTCCTTTTAAGGTTTTAAAGCAAGATATGTGTGACGACACGCCAGGTCTCTTGGACGCACCTCACATGCGCCAAGCTACTTCCTTCCTTTTTTCCTTCGTATTCTTCGTATTCTCTTATTCCCCGCTTTTGACTTATGAACTATAGTTCACGAGTCCTTAGCGCTTTTACTTTCGTATATATAGACCTTAGCTACCTTCGACCTTTATACTCGATAGTTATAAGTGCCGTTTTATTATTTATATATTAATTAAGTTATTAATTTATTAAAGATTGCAAACTAATTAAACTCGATCTTTATCGAAGTAGATAATAAAACTTATTATTCTTTTTTTATTAGACGAACGAACGGTCGAAACGCTCGGTGTATAATAGAAATGCTAGACGAAGAAGGGCGTAATCGTAGCTAGTTAATTAAAATAAACGAATATCGAGTTAAGCGATTTTTAAATAACGATTATAAAATTAAGCTATTTGTTAAATAGATTAATAAAAACGAACATAACGACGGATATTATAAAATTAATATTGTTAACGGGCAAAAGACTTTTTATATACAAAAGAAAAGTATCGCAAGAAAAGAAAGTAATAAATTCGATAGCTTGCGAAAGCCTTTTGAATTTTATTATTATAAATTAATAGATAAGTTTATATAAATAGTTTCAAAATCGTTATTATATTAAATAAAATATATATATAATTAACTATAAATATAATTTATAAATATAAATATTAAAATAATTTATTAATATATTTATATCGATTTTAAATATAGCAAGTCGATTAATTCTTTTGATTTAAAACTTTATGTCGGTATATCCATATCGACCTTAGCTAGTAGTAGTAGTAGTAGTAGTAGTAGTTGGGGAACTTACTCGTGAACCATGGTTCACGGGTCACTTGGCATGCTTCGCTTAGCATGCTAACAGTCAAAGGACCCTCCAACTTAACAAGTAAACCTATTAGTTAGCTAGTGCACGTGATTCCTTTTAATCATATAAAAAGAATCAGCTCCTTTGAGTTTTAAAGAGCAGACAGAATTAAGATACCTTATTAACCGAGTGTTTTGCAATTGCAAGTACTTTGACGACCGTTACGACCTTACGAATATATATTCTTAATCGCTTAAAAGCAATCTAACACTAATCAGTAATTGATTTATTATTAAGTGATTAATTATAAAGAAGCTAAGACTCTATAACGAAGATACTTTTTTATTACGATACTTCTTTCTTTTTATAACGGAAAAGCGATTCCGTATTAAGTCGCTTCTTATATTACCGATTTTCTTTATTCTTACGGAAAAGTGATTCCGAACCAAGTCACTTTCAAATAACTTCAACGCTATAAGAGCCGCGCTTGCTACATATAGCAACACAACTAAAATTAGATCGACTTATACACAAACAGATAACAATTATAGCCGATCGAGCAACTAGACCTTTAAATAAAGAGTCTAGCCGACAAAGAGCAAGGTATTATACTTTTCGAGTCTTATCACCACTTACGGAACCCTTAGCTATTTAGCTAAAAGAAACATTATACTTAAGACTCTTAAGCTTCTCGGAAAAACTAGACGACGAGATATCGAGCATCTCATTTGACTTAAATAAGCTATTATACGCAAGGCTCGACAGCGAGATTACGGCCCGAGCAATAGTAAAGGACTTCTTAGATGCGAAGTGCAAAAGACTGAAAGACTACGACTTGTAAAGCTTATTCCGGCACGCTTTCTTACGCTAAGATTAAACGAGCTTTACGATAACGAAAGATAATACGAGACGAAGACTTAAGTTTGCTACTTTTATTAGCTTTAAAAAACACTTGCTATCTAAAGGCGTATAGTGCTCCTTAAAGCAAAAAGGCTACGCTAATAAAATAATCAAGCTTTTAAACGACGAGCAGCAGTACTAATAGACTTACGAAGAAATAAAAAAGCAATAAGCAACACCTTTAAGCCTCGATTCAAAGTAGACCGCCGAAAACCTTACGAAGGACGACGACGATATTACACTTCAACTACTTTTACTTCTATTTCCGCGTAGTTTAAAAAAGAAGGAAAAAGAGACTTTAAGCAAGAAAAAAGAAAAGGAAGAGATTCGGAAGTTACGCGAAGAATCTGCGAAAGAAAAGAAAGATATAAAGCAAAATATAAAAATGATAGCAAAGCAAATAACGGAATTACGGACTTACGCTATACAATCTAACGAAAGGCTACGACGAAGCGCTTTTGCGTACTCATTTTCAATTTAATAATCGCTACGCAATACGTCAATTATATAATAAGAGCTAAAATCACTTTAGCGGCCCTTAAACCCTTTTTTTAAAGGCTACACTTAGTTTTCTAAAAAGCTTAAGCTTAATAGCAACAACAATAAAAGCTTTAAGATTATTATCAAACTAGACAACACTCGAAGCTACGAGAGCTACACGTTAAAAGAAGACCCGCTAAAACTTAAAAGCGTTCCGAGTAAAATCAGCTTTTACTAAAGATAGCGTACAGATTTCCGTGCTTAACCTTAGCAACTCGAAAGAAAGATCTAGCACTTTCAAACGTATTAACAAGCTCTTTAGATCTTTTAATAAGCTACGTATCGATAAAAAGAATACTAAAAGTATAAGAATCGCTAAGACTATGCTTAAAAGTACGGATATCATTAAGCTAAAGCTTTAGCCGATGACTCGAATAGCCTTAGCGATCTTAACGATGACCGACGAAGAAAGAACGAAAGAGATTAGCAAAGAGATCGAAGCTACGAATACGGAAGAGGTAAGAACGGCCTTTTTGAACTATTAAAAAGATTCGGAAACGAACCTTTAAAGGACTCCGGATTCGAAAATAAGCTTCTTAAAAACCTTAAAAGAAGACGGACTATCGGCAATCATATCGATAACCTTTTACCGATAAGATTATTAGTTAAGCAAAGCACATTTGCGTACGGCATTCCAAGCGCTTTTAACGATAATAAAAATGATTTCTTTAAGCTAAGAACAGTAGACTTTTACTTAAAAGCGAAAGAATTAACTTTGTTTATAAGAAGCTTTCTTAAAAAGCTAAAGTATTCGAGACCCGACGATAATTTTAAAACTCAATTGAGTATTTTTAATAATTAAGCAAATCGATACGGCTTGACTTTCGACGATTATTTAGCGGCGTTCCTTATTATGCTTATAAGAAAAGCTATTACCTTTTATTATAATTACGTAATTAAAGCTCGGCTTCTTACGTTTAAAGCGAACGCTATTGCAATAAAAGACCACTTCGAAACTGACTACCGGCGGCAAGCAAAATACGACCGCTAAGAAGAAATTTCGCTAGATTTAATTAAAAAAGAAAATCCAAGGACCTCGTTTAGCGAGTGCTTTAAAAAGCTCGTTAAAGAGCTTAAAAGCATTCAAGGCTTTTTACGACCAAGCTTAAAAGATGATCGAAGTCTTGCTAACAAGCTGTATTTAACTTATAAAAACGTGCTAAAGACTACGATTACACGAATAAACCTTGCTTTTACTTTTACGGCGGCAATTGCTAACATTCGTCGAGCAATTGCGTTTGCAACTAAGACCTCCCGACTTACCTCTCGACCTCTCGTTAAAGCTAAAGCTTACGCGAGCTTTAACGAGCCACACGATCACACTTGCTCTCATAACACTTTAAAAGCTGACTCCGATTTAAACGAAGAATACGAATGCTTTATTCAAGACCGCTAATACTTCGGAAGTAAAAAAGCTGCTAAAGCTATTAAAAGTAAGAAAAAGTGTTTTGTTTGCAAAAAGCCAAGTTGCTAAAGTACTAATTACACTTCCGACGAAAGAAAAGCATCCGTCGCTAAGTTCTAAGCTTTTAAAAACGCAAAAAAAGTAACGAAAAGCAAATTCTTTTAATACGTAGCATCGATTAAAAGTTTATTACTTATATTTACGAAAGAACTCGATCAATTCATCGCAAGCCTATTAAACGAGCCGCTCGAATCGAGCAGCTACGTTAATATATCGAAAGGTTTTGTAACTATTTACGGCACTTTTAACGCTAACGAAGTATATAAACAACTAAAGATTCAAACGGTATTCCACGCCTTTATTAGCTAAGTAAAGACTTAAAAGATGCTCGGGCAAGACTCGCGTATATCCGAAAGTAAAGCAAAGACTTATATAGCCTTTAAATACTTTGAAAACGTATTCATAAGCCTTATAATTAATAGCGGAGCAGCTAATTTCTTTACCGCTAGCTTGCCTTAACTACGAGCACTTTAAAAGAAGTACTTCGAAGTCTAATTAGATACATCCCGAGCAAAAGAAAAGTCCGTTAAATACGAGATTAGCTCTGCTACTTTTATTAAAGCAATTACTTTAAAAACGCCCTTAAGTCAAATAAAGTTCTACGTTGTAAAGAGCGACGTACTTTTCTTATTCTTATTAGCTGACATAGATAAGCACAAAGTGATCTTAAATAACTTACGAAACGTACTAATTTAAAAAAAGAAAGAAATACTAATAATAAAGATGTTTAAGCACGTATAAATGCTATTAAGTAAAGAGCACGCTGCTACTTATTATAGTACCGAAAGCGAGACCGTCTACTACTACTTTACGAAAAAGCAATTAAAGACTATTTACAAGCGTTTTAATCACCTTTTAACAAGTCGATTTGCTGCTATTCTCAAGAAGGCCGAGCATGAATTCAAACGGGATTTGCTTTATAATATCTAAAAGTTTTGCTACTACTGCTAAGTATTCGAACGCTCTTTAAAGAGGTTTAGTATCAAACTCAAAGACGATATTGACTTTAATAACACGATATACGTCGATGTGATGCACTTTAACGACAAGAACGTATTGCACGTCGTTTGCGATTCTATTAACTTTCAAGCCGCTACCTTTCTTAAAAGCATATCCGCATAGCACTTACTTAAAAGATTCAATCGATATTAAGTCAATACTTACGTCGGACCTTTTACAAACGTCGTGCACGATCCCGGAACTAACTTTAATTTAACGACGTTCCGAAAGTACCTTAAAAGTATTAAGAGCACTTTAAAGCAAATGCTTATAAAAGCCTATCATAACGTCGAGCTAATAGAACGCTACTACGTCTTTATGCGACGCGCTTTTAAGATCGTCACAAAAAAGCTTTTTAAAGCCTTAAAAGAAGACCGGCTACAAATAGCTATTAAAGCTATTAACGACACAGCGAGACTTAATAGCTTAATCCTTACGCTTCTCGTCTTTAACACTTTACCGAAGCTAACGGAACAAGATCGACTTGCCGCGTTTACTTAAAAGCGTGCTGTTGCTATTAACAAGGCTATAAAAAAAGTACGAAAATGCCACGCAGCGAAGCAAGTTAAAGACGCGTTCAAAAAGAAGAATAAGCTAATTACGAAGCATACCTTAGACCTTTTTATTAGTTCACGAGTACTCGTATAGCGGGAAAACCAAAGGTAAAAAGGCCCTTTTTAGCTATTTAGCAAGCAAAAGCATACGTGCACAATAGCATATCCGAAGCTTACGGAATTTAAGTCAACTTTAATAAAACTTTACTACTTTAAAGTTGAAAAGCTGCTAGAAAAGTTACAAGTACTTAAAGTAAAAGAAGAAAAAGATTAAAGTAAAAGCGAAAAAGAGCTAGAACCGCGAAATTCGCTTAAACCTCAACATTCGCTTGATTTAAAAAGCTCGTCAAGATTAATAAACAGCTTTCCTAACCTTCAACTTGTCAATTCTTAAAAATCAACAATACTAATAGTTTAAATACTTTATTAAAAGTACGATCTTAATATCTCGACCGTGCCCGATAAAAAAAAAAGCGATTCTTACGTTCTATTTATTAAAGACTCCGAAGTATTTGTTACTAATAAAGAACGCCGAGATCATAAGCTCTTAATTAAG